ATTAATTAGCATATTTGAGGTCACCCCCAAACACCATTAAGATTGACACTTAGTTCGTGAAAATCCGATCATTACAACGAAAGTTATTCAGGGTGATTCGTTTTTTTTTTGCGGACTGTACATCTGTGTAATTATGATAGTTGATCTACAATTATGACTTTTATTTTGCGTCTTTAATATAAATTCAGTTCTCCTGTTCTTATCGTTGAATATTTAAGTATAATAGTTTTAGCACTACTTTATGAATTGAAGCTAAAATCAAAACCTTTAAGTATTAAATGTCATAGATCTGTCTAAAAAAGAAATTGTTTTATCGATAAATATCATATGCTTTGATTTTTCCAGTTTTCTGACACAGGTTTTTGTGTCACACATAGGTAACATAAGCATGGGTGCCACTTTTCAGTCCTAGGGACTGAAATCAGTCTTGAGAAAATTCAATAGACTAATAAATTCTATCAATTAAAAAAAATTTTCTTTTTTTTTTTTCATTAGAAATTTTGTAATTTTTTTTTTGTCGAAATAAAAAAATATTCTATCTTAATGAAAACATATGATATGGTATTGATGTCAGGACTTTAATTTATCTTCTTTTTGTCAGCTTCACTAAATCTCATTCTTTAAAGTCTTGACAAATGGGATTGTCTGAACTTTATCTACTTGTATAATTAAATTTTGTACTATTAATGAATCTAAGTCTGCTCTAATTTGCTTCCTCCACCATAACCTATCGTCATGCTGGTCAAAGTTAAATCAAGATTATTTTTTTAAAAAAGAAAGAATTATAGTGCTAGAGCAAAAAATAAGTAATGGTGAAGTGAAAAACAGGAATACGAATGGTTTCAGGTTGTTAAAAAATATACAAGGTTGGCTGTTATTTTCGTTTTGTTTGTTAAAAAAACATAAAATAAAAAATTAGAAGAAATAATCAAATTATTGATTTAATAGGCTAATAACAAGGAAAGGTAAATTTTGGTGTCAGTGTGCTATAAATTTCTAAAAGTTTGGTAAACAATGCTAGACAGTATTATTTGGTCAAAAAATGAGTTCAGTCTTGAAATTTTTTTAGAGTGGCACCCCTGCATAAGTAAATGAGTTAATATCTCTGATTTTCTGGGGAATTTCTTGTTCTGCCTCTACCTATATTTCCTTATATACTTTCAGGCTATTAAAAACTGCCATAAATGTTAATTAAATTATCCAGTATAATATCACCTTGCGCACATCCATTTTCGGCCCATCCTTGGAAACTAACAAATCAAACACGCTTCAGTATTGCAGTTATAACACACTATAAAACAAAACCCCTCTATTTTCAATTTCAACTCAATTTGCGGTTCTGTTTTCATATTTTGTAATCTGGCAATCTGGTCAAAAAATATTTTAAATCCTTCTTAAAAATTTTCCCGTTCGTGTAAGTTCATTTGAATTCATTACTCGCTTTATAGACTTCGTTTTATGTTTTGTTCTGTTTTCTTCACATTTTATTTTCTGTTTATGCGTCATATTTATTACTCAATGTGTTCTATTTTATTTTGTTTCAAACATTTTTTTGAGTGCTGCTTACACTATTGTATTGATATATTTTGTTTTGGCTATATAGATACAATATTAGAAAGCACTCTTTTTTGCCGATATAGTTGTGTAAGCTGATGAAAAGATTATATCTTCTCTTTCTGTGTTTTTATTCATTTTTATTCTTTCTTTTTTTCATTATTCCGTAATTTTTTCCATGTTTTCTCAACATTATAATATATATGTATACATTATTGTAACTTTTTACTTACTTATAGAATGGAGAACAATAGATTCTGCTGCATCCTCATTCAAACCTATCGAAGAAAATAACATTAAAATCTGCATTTGTAAAAAAAAAACAACTACTTAGTAACAAAGAAGGGTTGATAAATTATCTCAATTAGTATTTTATATTTTCGGCAACTTTGACCATAGTTTTTTTCTGAGTTTTAACATTTTTATGACTTATTAAATCCACGGTAAGCTTCATTTTTAAAAAATGCTATTGTTCTCTTCCTTGGAAAGCTGAAGTAAAATAAGATTCAAAAATAAAATAGTTTTTAGAGTTTTAATAAACTGTTTTTAAGCAACGAAAATACAAAACAATCTAAAATGATACGGTGATAGAAAATGGCAGTGAAACAAAAACGTTTGGTACTTGTGAACTTAACTAAAAGCGTTTAAATTTTAGTTAAAAACATAGTTTGGATTTGAGACAGTCAAAAAGTTACTCAATTCTCAAATCCTTTTGCTATGAGTGTTAGCAAAACATGAGATTCGTGTAAGTAAGAATTTTTTTAAGTTTAAAAAAATGCCAATTTAAAGAGATTTTTTCTTCTGATGAAAATTACAATTTTTTTAACAATGCAAGAATGGAGTAATTTTTAGAATATTAAAAAGTTAAAAGAACAAATGATTTCTTTTAAGAAGAAAATGCTAATTTTTTTAATTTAAAAGTTTTGCACAAATTTCATTATCAGCATAGAAAATGTTGGCTACAAATCATAGAGCTGTAATAGTAGGTAATTTCAAGGAATAGTTGAGTAATATTTGCAGAATATGATTGATTCATTTAGGTTTTGAAGCTTCAGCTGACAAAAAGTTTGTAAAACAGAACATACCTAACTTAACATAACAAGTTTCAAGAAGGACATCTTGAAGCCAAATCAGATGCTGCCTTTCACCAGCTTGCACTAATGTTCGTAAAAGAAGTGTTACATCATCGTCAAAAATTGAGATTTGAGAAAGATCTTCATTTGGTATAGCTTCAAGTTTTGAATCTTGAGCTGCCTTCTGTTTTAAAATATTACAAATATACATATATACAAAGCAATACTATCTTTGAACAAAATATATCATTTTTATAAATTTGTTTTCTTTTATATACATTGCCTAGTACATTGTTGAACTTTTGCGCTTTAAAAATATATAGAGTATCTGCATTGTATAAGGTATGTAATATTATCAACAAAAAAACCCCCCTTTAACTTGTTCAGTGCCACACCAGTCATTCGTGACTGACATAGAACTTTCTGCTTAGACCATGTCTGTTATGGAGGACTAGCAGTTTAATATATGATATAAAAGTAAAAAATTTTACATCATTTAAAGAAATTAATGAAAAATTAGTTAAAAATTACCTAATTTTTATTTATTTCAATCTGTTAGTAGTACACCTTACAATGCTATACAACAATATGAGTGCTAATCAGTGTGAGTAAGGGGATTTCCAAAAAAATGCTCAACATGTTAATATATAATTTCAAAATCCATGTCTAAGATGAAGTAAAAAACACAATAGGGCTCACAAATCAATATTTAAACGAATAAAAAACTTTATCCCAATCTAAAGAATCATTAGAAAAGAAGACTCATGTGAAAACAACAAAATATTTATTTGGATTTCTTGAGAAAACAGAGAGCAGTTGAAACATGGTTTTTAGAAACACCTTTAAGTTTCATGAGGCAATCAAAAATATTTCTATGTTTTCAGTACCGTTTTACTCACTAGTCATTTGTTAGATTTAAATGGCTTTTTAAAAATTTTTTTTGCTTATATTAATTTCTTAACTTTACTAAAATCTTTTGGAAATTGTCAAATATATTTTCTTATTGCTTGGCTTTAAAGTTGCGTCTGTAAAAATGTCTAATTCCAAAACAAAATCCATATTTTTAATAAAATTTTTTTTACTCATGGTAGCGATATGTGTAATTTATACAGGGTGTTCCATAATGACTAACTTTAATATACATATTTGCTTATTTCGAAATAAGAAATGAAGGTTCATTTTAAAATATGGTTTATTTTAGAACAAGGAATGAAGTAAAAACCTGTTCTCATAAGGGGCTGCAAATTAACATTTAAATTAAAAGAAAGGTTATTAGACTTTAACTAAACAATATGGAAACCAATGAAAGCGAAAAAAAAATGTTTAAAACCATCAAAAATCAACTATTTGTCAAATCAAACTGAAATGCATCTGCCCTTCATTAGAAACTAATGTTGTTTTTGCTCACCGAATTTTCTTTTATGTGGACATTTATAAAATTTTTTGTCATGATTGTTATGCAATTAGATTTACAAGATGACAAGAATGATGATTAATGAAAATGGAACTATATGAAAAAGCTCATTTCTATTTTTAAAAAAATTCATGTTTGAATCTATGTCAAGACTCCTTTTATTAAAAATTGCTAACTGATAGTTTTGACAGTTTCAGATAATAAAAAAATCACTATAGAGAAAATTTTGTTACATGGAGAAACAGCATTTTTACTGTTATTCAAGTAAAAGTTACAAAATTTTTAATCTATATAATTTTTACTTTTAATAAAACAAAAAGTTTTAACATGTCATTGAAGGAGTATTTGAAGTGAGAATATGGAATGATTTATAAAGAATTCTACTGATAAGCAGAATGAATCAGGCAAATTTTTCTCAAACTGGGAACATGAAAAGAGGAGAGCGAATTGGTTATACTGAAACTCAATTGCAACTTTCTTACAAAAATGATTAAAATTGGAAAGATAAACTTCAAAAGATTATTTATCCTAAGACTTTGTAATATGGAGAATATTTGGAATGTTGCTTATTGTAATTTATAAATATACCAAAAATAATAGTTACCATTTTTTCCTTCAATAACTTGAGTTTTTCAACTGAAACAAATCCTTTTATCTGCAGCTTACTCAGAATCTAAACACAAACATATAACTTTAAAATGGGTAGAAAAATTATTTAAAAAATTTAATAATTCAAAATTAAGAAATTAACTACAGGAGGATTCAACTTTGTTCAACAAAGATATTTTAGTTCAACATAAAAGGTAAAAATAAATACAGTGAAACCTCCTGTTATGGACACTCCTGCAAGACGGACGCCTCTCAATACGGACATATTTTTAATTCCCCGAGAATCTTCTATGAATAAACCATTATGTACATTCTCCGCAAAGCGGACACTCCCGTAACCGGACGCGGTCAGTCATTTTGGTCCTGAAACGTTGTTTTCTATCTCTACAAGCCGGACACTACTTTTTCTAAATTTGAAAAAGGAACTATTTTTACGTTAAATTGCAAGCTAATAAAATGCAACTTTTCACCATTTTTAAAGCATGTAAATAAAATTTTTTGCGTTATCCATAACTAAAAATATTGTTAGGTTATTTCACCACTGAAAAATCAATCTTTCTCCTGTCACTTTGCCTTATCTTTGAAAAGAAAGGAGAGAAAACGGTACAGCACTCCTGAAATAATTCTGACATCGGAATCTTTTCATCTGGACCACACAGGTTATGAGATCCCTCGAGTTGAAATGACNTTTCACCACTGAAAAATCAATCTTTCTCCTGTCACTTTGCCTTATCTTTGAAAAGAAAGGAGAGAAAACGGTACTGCACTCCTGAAATAATTCTGACATCGGCATCTTTTCATCTGGACCACACAGGTTATGAGATCCCTCGAGTTGAAATGACATCTCTCAATACTTCTTCCCCATTGAAATTTTTTTTAATTTTCTTATCAATTTGAAGATTGTATTTAACACAACTGGGGTAAAAAAAAGAGAGCAGAAGTATTTGTTGAGGTGTTTATATAAATGAAACATTTATTCAGACACTTGATAGCTGATCAGTTGTGAATAATCAACTCCATAGGTCCTCCTGACTTACAGGTATGCATTACTTTTTTTGCTGTGAATCAATGGAGGTTTTTTTTCAAGAAGGTATTAACCATGTTCCCTATCAAATGATAAGTAGGTGTAAGGGGATGTAAAGCTAATACATAACTGAAACGGACTGAGGACAGAAAGCTCCTATTCGGTATCATATGTCTAACTTGAGTATCTATGCTAATAGGAAAATTATATTTATTTATTTATTTATCTGTAGCTACATCCATAATTATGTATTTATATCAAACTTCTTTATATATTCTTTTTTATCTTTCTTATAGTTTAATAAATATTCTTGTAGATATTTATAGTATCCTTGTAGATATTATTTAATTATTTCTACTTCTTTGAAAATATTCTAAAAACAATTCACGGTGTTAAATTTCGTTATTAGGGTACACTTCCCGTAATCGAACAACTCTCATAAACAGACAAATTTTTTGGTCCCATGAATGTCCGCTTAACGGAGGTTTCACTGTATATAATTTTTCTGATACATCACATATATAAGTTCAGAGATTCCAAAAATTAATTTTAAAAAAAATTTCGATAGAAAATTTAAAAACTGAACTTACGTATTAGGTCAATATTAAAATACTTACATTCCGTTTTAGAAGATTTGGGATTCAACTAACTTGTTGATTGACAAAGGTGTATCAAAAAATAAGGTGAATTTTGGATTTGCTGTGCTACATCAGTACTATGCAGAGGATGTTAAAGAATTCCCAGCTTGAAACTCTGCTGACGATTACAAGCCCATAAAAACCACATGACGTTAACATCCTTTTTTTTTGTCAGTTGTTCTAAGTACCAGATGGGTTAACATAAAATTAAGTATAAGCCATCATACTTAGGTCATTTTGGTACTATCAACATATAAAAAATAATGAAGTAGTTTCAAAAACAAATTCAACTTACATTTTGGTACGTGTATTTAAGTTCCATTTAGTGAGTAGGAAACATTTAAATAAATTTTAAAATTTCTTTTTTTTAAAAAAAAGATTGCTGATGTTCTGTCCAAGAAAACTCCGAGATAAGGAATAATTCAAAACTACTATGGTATAAATAAATGACAGTATTTATTTTTTTCTTCAAATGTGGACTTTTTATAACTTTGTTATAGTCCCTTCAGATTGGTGTTAAAATTGTAAAAATACAAAAAAGAAAATAAGGATGCCTACATGTATTGGCAGGATACTCAATTAACCTTTGTAACTCTCTTCATCACGTTTTTTTCAATACGAGGGGAACAAGCATAGAATTCTTTTTTAAATTGGGAAGATTTATTTAAAATGGTGATAAATCTCATGTTATTCTCTATACTTGTTTTAATAAATTTGATTTAAAATAATTTTGATACGGTATTGACAACATTAAAAAGTATTATTGCTGATCTTAATTGTTATTTCGTTACCACTTTAATTAGTTAGGACATTGAAGCAGAAAAGTAAGCAGATGCTAAGGAATTGTCATCAACTTGGATCATAAAATCAAGTTATTCTCTTTTTTTATGTTTGTCTAATCACTGCAGTAAATGACATTAAAATACCAAATTTTATGACATTTAGTTGGCTTATCCTAACTTTCAGTTGTCTTTGGAATGTTAAAGAAATTTTTCCAAGTAGAGATTAACTACTGGAGAGGTGAAAGTATGTAGAAATTTGATTAATCACAAAAAATTGCTCCCTAAAACTGGGGTTTGCTCGTTTAAAGAAAGTTATGTTCCAATAGGCTTAACATTGTACCATCCAAGCATTTTGGATTTGCTCATTAAATCAGGGTTTTCGTTAAATCAGAGCTCTTTATGAACGAGTCAAATAATACTGAATTTCAGAATAATTCAAATATGTCTTAAGGGTCCACTATTGCATCAAAATGTCAAGAAATTAAAAAAAATAACTATTTCAATATTATTTGCAATGTTCAATTAAATATCTGTCAAAATAACCAATGTTAAAAAAAAGCTCAATTAAATGTTAATTAAGGATTAGTAAAATTTTAATATAATCAGAAAGTATTTTAAGGGTCCCCTTTTGCAAACACGTGAATCTTTTGACGAAAGCAAAAGTGGAAATGACAATATTTTTCGGGCTATGAGTCTAATCTGAAGAACAGTAACACAACAAAGGGACAATTAAGACAGTTCAAAGCAAATAAACTCATTTCTTTTGCATTTTACAGAAATAAAAAAATAAATGAAGTAACTTATTTTTATTAATAATTTAATAAGACTGTATGAAATTTTGAAATATTTTATGGTGGAATATAAATGGCTTTGAACCATAGTGTTGATTTTATAACAGCTAAGTCAGTTTGAAGTTCTTGAACCAGAATAGAAACAAACTTAATTGTTAAAAAAAAAATACGATAGTTTTTAAGTTAATGACTCATTGTAAACAATTCACCCTATTAGGATGTTTGGAGAGAGTTGCTTATAATTACTTCAAAAGACGAGTTTATTTATTCGAAGATAGGATTAAATTAATTTGCAGTTTCACAAATTAATATTTAGATTTTTCTTTTTATGTTTGCACAACCTATACTGTAACATAGTTTTCAAGAGTGTTCAAATATCTAGTTTATCCTATACTAATAAATTTTAAAACTTAACTATTTTTCATTGTTTTTTTAACATGTTTTACCTGTTAACTAGTACACAGCTGTAAACTAGTAAATAGTGTAATAAATAACGGAAAATTATTACAAAAAATAATTCATGGGACAAAGAAATACCTAATGTAAAGTGTATGGAATTCAGTAGCATTCATGAGAATCAGTTTAACAATAAAAGTATATTTGGTAGATAATTTTTGCTTACTGAAAAGTGCTACATTAAACATGATAGATCAAATTCCAGTGATGAATTTTCATGTATTATAAATGAGTTGATATTCATGTTTAAATCCTTCAATGAATCTCATCATATCTTACAAAGGTAACAAGAGTTTTAATTATTTTTCTTAAATTTTGTTTGATCATTTCAAGGATATATGTATAGGAAATTATATGAGTGATGGAAAAGATTCATCAACAAAACAAGCAGAGGACACTGTTGTAGTCAATATAAGAGTGAACACAAAACAGCTTACTTAAATGGCACACTAGAAGATATGGGGAAATACATGCAATGAAGCATGCTATTCTAATCATTTATATTTTCAATTTATATAGCTACTTGCATCTTGTTTTGATGTAGGAAGATGTTCAGAAATTCTGGAGACTGGATCTTTGTCTTGTTCAAATTGTAGGTACCACCAAAATAAGTCATCGTCTTCTTCAATAAGTAAACAATGACTGCTAACACTGCTATTGATTGAGGAGTCATCGCTATTCAATTAGAAGCATTTACAATGATAAACAAAGCATGATTATCACTCCAAGATATAGAATTATATAGTTTTTAAAAATTTTACAAGTTGAAAAATTAAAAATTAACACATTATATATTTTATTATGCTTTTTCCAACAAACATTGAAGCAGGTAAGAGATGACCTAAAGAAAGCTAATTTTTTTTATTAAAGGCTTCTGATTAGAAACATTATTTGATAAAATGCTCTGCCGTGAAAAAACGCCCCCCCCCTGTAGTTTTACACAAATAATGATTGGCAATCAGTACCAAAAAGTGCTCTTTCCTTACTACACTATTTGAAAGTTCTTTTTTTGGAAATTTCTTTATGAATTTGCTTCTAAAAATAGTTATCCTGATATTTAGGGTAGAGGATTGATGTTATACCATAAATGAGAAACGAGAGAGGGAAAAAGGAAGAGGTTTAATCTATCACAGAAACTGAATTGGAGATTGTTAACTAAAGTGTAGGTGTCTACCAAGTCTGGTGGGAAGAGAGGGAAAAGCAATCCTCCACATGCACATTTTTTGTGCGGTCAACATTTCCTCCCAGCTGCATGTACCGTATTTTTCGGCAAAAGCGCCACGGCACTATCGAAAATCTCTTGCAGAACCTCTGAGTACACTTGCCAATATATATTCTAAATATTTTTTCCATCTTACATTCTTAATGATATAAAATTTAATTAATAGAAAATACTCCTGTTACAGTTTCAGTTAATGCTGATTATTTAATAACCTGCAAAATTCTGTACATTTAAAGATCGATAAGTTTGATCACGATTTTCTTTAAACAGAGATTTCTTGTTTCAAAGTGCTTTCAAAATTATTCTGCCACGTAGAAACCACTTAGACTATCTCACAATTTTAGATTATTTGGTATTAATTGCGCTTAAACTCTTTTGCATTAAATTTTTAAATTTCCGCAAATATTTATTTCAAATATAGTATAATTTATGCTACAAAAATCAACCAGCAACAGTTATAAATGAATAAAACTATTTGTAAAATGTGTTTCTAGCATTTTATGATTCATTTTTTTTCTTGACGTATTAAACTTACAAAGATATTAAAAGTAACATACCTTAATTTGCTTCCTCCTTTTTTAATCTGTTGCTCTTTTATAAATTTTGTTTGAACTTCACGGCTAAATTTAGTGAGTATGTACATAATCAAATCTTCTTGATACTGAAATTAAAATCAAACATGCTAGCATAGAAAAGAAAGTTATGTTTTATATTTAAGTAAACATTGTAAATTCAATGGGAAAAGGGTCACTCTCAAATTTAGTTAAAATTCTGAATTTTTTTCCATTTTAAATTATTTAGCTTCATTAAACTATAATTTTCATCAGAATGTCTTTTTGTCGGATAACACATGTGTAAATTTCCTTTTACTTTAAGAGTCTTGCTTTAATAATCTTATTAAGATTCTTTTTCCTAGTTCTATAATTGATTTGTATTAAAATGTAGCTCTTACGTGTGGGGCTTCTGGAACTGTTTTCAAAAGCAATGACAATAAGAATGAAATAAAAAGCTAAACATTCAAATTTCAATACTAAAAATTAATTTAAAAAAAGTAATTTTTAAAAGAAAAATTTTTCTTTGAATAAAACTGGTGCAGATCCCCCAGTCTCTTTGAAATGTAGGGCTCACTTGTCTCACGATCTCCCTAAGTCATTATAACGGGATCTCTTAATGACATAATTTCTCTTAATACTTGAACCAGGTGTACCCCTGTCTTCTGAATTTTGTTTAAAATTACAAGACTATGGAGTTGAACATTGGTGAACTCAAAACTGAATGTAAACTCAAAATTTGGACATTTCTTCAATTACCGTTATAAAATTTAAAAAAATGACATGATTTGCTGAATGTCACCATCTTCAATTCTTGATTAGAAAGTTTATGTAAGCATCAGTGGTTTGAAAACTTATTTTACTTTGTCAGCGGTATCTAGATCATGATTCTATAAATATGTATTGCTAATGACTGAAGAGCTTAGTCGAAAAAAAGACATTATAATGAATTCAAAAGCTGAGAAACAGAAGAAAGCTGTTTTCAAAACTCATTATTCTATTAAAAGACTTCAGAGATCTCTGCATTAACATAACCTTTGAGAATAACATAATGATAGATATAACTTTTTGAGAAAAGTATTTGTATTCAATATGATTTAAAGAATAGAATTTATAATTTTAGTCAAGTAAAGATAGCATTCTAAAATCACCCAATTCACTAATTACTCTCTAAATTATCCAGTCGATCTCTTGGTCTTCAATGGATAGACTAGATAACTTGGACAGGCCCAATGGACGAGACAAATAATCTTTCAGAAATATTCACTATGCGCTGGTCCGATGGCTTGCCCTGTACACAAGTTTTCTCTATATCATTGCTGCGTGTATAGTAACTTCTTCAACAACATTTTCTTTAGTTCTATACATAATTTCTGAAGAACTTCCACAGAAATCAAATTTTAATAAATAGTTAAAATTCCATATCAAACGAGCTAAGCGACTGATTTTGTATTTTGTCATGTAAAATTACGTTCTTTAAAATTATGTAAAAATTTTTATACCTCACAATTCAAAATTATTCTGACTATTATTAAATTAAATAAAGTATTAAAGGTTTTTTGCAAGGAATTATAATTGTATGATCGAATTTTATAATTGCGGACAATTTTTTAAAAATTTGCTTTAGAAGTTCTGGAACTGTGGTGAAATGCGCAAAAAATAACAACCAAACAACTAGGACCATATTACCCAGGCTGCAGCTACCCCCTAGATTTTGGGGGTCAGGAATCATAATCATGATAATCCATTGAAAAAAAAAAGGTATATTTATTCAGAGAAAGTACGTTTCTCTGTCTGATTTTGACATTTAAAATATCACCTGTGCTAACTAATTGGCATATTCGAGGTCATCCTCTCAAACCATTGAGTCTTAATAAGTTAAAATCTGATCATTAAATCAAAAGTTATTAAATTGTTTTAGTGTACTGTACACGCGAGCATGTGCTTAAAATGTTCTCTTAATTAATTTATCATCCAAATTTCAGCAGATTTTTATAGGAGGATATTTAAAAACAATTAGGACAATTCTTCTCAGATTGTGGTTACCACAAATATTTTGCCAGTCAGGAATCATAATTATCACAATTCATCCCAAAAAAGGCATGTTTAGTCAGAGACAGTAGGATTTACTGTTTGTCTACCATAGGTACTCTGACAGACATTCGTCTGGAGGNCCACAAATATTTTGCCAGTCAGGAATCATAATTATCACAATTCATCCCAAAAAAGGCATGTTTAGTCAGAGACAGTAGGATTTACTGTTTGTCTTCGATAGGTACTCTGACAGACATTCGTCTGGAGGTGTGGCGGTGACTATGGTAACGAGTTATGATTATTTCAAGTAGGGGTGCGGGTCTCTCTTTAAGACTAGTTTCGGCGAGAGAAAATGAGACCTCTTTCTTCGGTCTATTGTGTTATCTCTAAAGTGAAGAGAAATAAGTATTCGCTCCTGAAACATTTTTTTAATAAATAGTGAGAAAAACTATACAAGTTACATTCAAATACGAGTAAGAAAGCGTAATTTAAACAACAAAAAAAAGACTTTCAGATGGTTTGATGGGTGTTGATAAAAATCATCGTTGATAGTTTTAGACTTCATCCTATTTGCGGTAACTTGCTTTCAGTTTAAAAAAAAATAATAATAAAAACAAAGATATTTAATATTTTTTCGGCACAGATAAAGTGAACTATTTCTATTTTCAGCAAAAGTTTTATCTCCTTTTAAAATCAGAGTTAATAAGTTTAAGCACTTCACTTTTTCCAGAAAACTCAATAAAAGAAATTAACTGCTTTAAAAAATGTCCAAGTTTAGAAATTAAACCATCTAATAATCAATGAACATTCGTAATAAATAAAAGTAAACTTTTTTTCTTCTTTTTTTCCCATTTGTATATAAAAAATAGCAAACGATTGAGTAAAGAGAATCTTTTTAAGTAAGAAAGAAATATCCATGTGAATCTTTTAAAAAGTTATTGAATCAGATTAAATAAGTCTCCTGCTGGTGGCTGAGGCAGCCAATCTGGTATACTTCCCATACAAGCTATCATCAAAGCTACCCTCCCTAAAATGCCCTCTTCTTGTTTCCATAGCACCAGACTGTCGCAGACTTTGTGGCGGTCAGAGTACCTATCGTAGACAAACAGTATGTCTGGTTTTGCAGCTAAAATACCATCTGCACTAATTAGCATGTTTGAGGTCAACCCCTCAAACCTTTGAGCCCCAGTACATCAAAATCCTATCATTAAATCAAAAGTTATTTGAAGTGTTTCGTTAATTTTTCGTTTCTTTGTGCACTGTACATGTGAACCTGTGTCCCAAATGCTCTTTTGATATAATGTGACTTTGTTGATATAAATCTTTATATTTCCTGTAGAAAATATGTCCTTTTCATCTTAAAATATAATTTTAACTTAAATTTTTCATCAAAATTTCACCAGATTTTTTGAAGGGCTATTTAGAAACAAGATGGAAAGGTAAATTTCCAAGATAATTAGTAAAGATTAGATAATTGCCAAGATCTTAGTAAACATCAATTCATTCTTAAAATATTTTACATAATTTTTTATTTGATATATATTTAAAAAGGTAATTAAAATATTTTCTGGGAAACTAAAGTAAGACTTCTTTTTCTCTACAAATATTTGCTAATAGCAGCATCCATAGCTTCATAATTTGATTTATCTAAACTTTTATTATTGTTGTAATATATGTTACGTGTAGGTTTTTATTAATTTTTATATATAGTTTCAAAAACTATATAAGTCTGGGTAGAAAAACATCTCATTTTTCTCAAAAATTACTTGATATCAATAATAATTTAAAATTTTCTATTATTATAATGACCATTTGTTCTTTTACAATTGTATTTTATACAAAGCCATTTTTAGTTTATTTTAAACGGTTATTTTAAAGATAGTATATATTTCATAAACATTTTATATAAAGTGGATCACCAAAAGGTATATTAACGAGTCAGCAATATACTGTAGTGAATTTGTTTATTGGCAAGTCATTCAAAGGCATTTCACTGAATGATGAAATCAGAGAATGAATTTATAAATGAATAAAAATGTTTATAAACTTATAATTTTGTTGCGGCAGTAAACAATAATTTTTCCTTTCATAATATAATTTTTAACAAAATAGCATATATTGAATAGAAAATTCCTTTAAAATATTATTTAAACATGTACAATTATAAGAGAGAAATAATAATACAATTTATATCCAATTGATCTCATAATGTTCATTCATGAGAACAGCTTAAAAGATATTTTTTCAAAATTGTAGATAAGTTTAAGAATATTGTTAATAATCCCACTATCTATAGCAAGTATTAAACGTTCTTTTAGCAAATTTAAAGCTACAAAAAGTTATTTAAGGTCTACAATAACACAAGAGAGACTAAATTCTTTGGCAATAATTTCTATGGAAAATGAAATCTCAAACACATTTGATTTGGAAGAGTCTATAAAACTGTTCTGCTAAAGTTCAAAAAATAAATTCAAATGTTTAGGCTCATATATTTGTATGCCATTTGTTATTTATCTTCTTCATATGTTTCTTAAATTAACATTTAGGGTTGATACAGATTTTATAATTTCTGCTAGAAATATTATAATTTGAAATATAAAATGCAATTTTATACAGCATTATGACTAAACAAGCAAGACAATTCAAGAGGAAAAATAAGCTATTTCTTTTAAATTTAGATTCCTTTTCCAAAATTTAGTTCAGCAGCCGTTTTCAGTATTGTCCAGGGTGTGAAAACGTTAATAATTTTCAATGCATTTAATTCAGACACTGTTTTTCTCTTTATGTTACAATATAGGAAAATATGAATTTTTGGTAATATGGAAAATAAATGGTCCTAATTAGTTCAAACCATACTCGTTGTAAATAGAATATAAGCAGCCGTTTTCAGCATCGCCCAGGGTGTGAAAACGTTAATTATTTTCAATGCATTTTATTCAGACACTGTTTTTCTATTTATGTTACAATATAGGAGAATATGAATTTTTGGTAATATGGAAAATAAATGGTCCTAATTAGTTCAAGCCATACTCGTTGTAAACAGAATAGAATTCTCAAGATTATGTGCTTTCAACTCATTTTTCCTTTCCATTCTACTTGGATTTGCCAAATCTTACTTTTTTCGAAGGCATTACGCTTCAGTTTAAAGTTTGACTATACTTGTGTAGGGTAAAAGCAGCATTAGCCATAATCAGGGTAATGGATAAGCTAAAGTGAGGAGATCTTGTAACTTTGAGATGCCTATTCTATTTACAAACAGTATAGCATGGTTCTTCAATAAAGGATAAAACTTGCTCTAGCCTTTCCCACGATTTCTCTTTTAAAATGGATAAAACTTACTTGGTCCAATTCAATATCTTCTTTCAAAATTTCAGAAAACACTTTCAAGAGAGATGGTTCAATTAAAAGATGAGATGAATGAAGATCTCCAGCTATGTGATGTAATAATGTGAAGACACATTCATTTAAGAAATGGCTGGTTAGAAAAAAGGCAAAATAATTATACTGAATTTCAAAAAACGAATCAACATTTGTATAATGATTTAAAAAGAAAATAATTGCTTAAATATTGAAATGTTCATTAAAAGAACAACGCTGTTTAAAACGGAAATAGGCAATATGGTGAAACAAAAAGTTTTCAAATTTTAAATATCCATGTAAACGTTGTAACTTAAGTTAGAAAAAAATCACTTTTCAACATTAAAGATTGGATACGCTTGAAGTAAGTTAACAATTTTTTTTATGTCCATCATAAAAAAAAAAAAATCTAAATATCAGTAAATTGTGAATACAAAATTTTCAGTATAACCGATACACCGCACGCAAACGAATACATTTCTACCAGAGTGTAAAATTGTGTAGAATATAGGTATAGTTTAACTTAAAGTGTATATCGTAGTTTTAGTAAGCAGACAAAATGATGCTATAAGCAAAGTCTGTGAAAAAAAGAAAAAAAAAATCACTGGTGTGTAGTGCTGTTACAACCTGTTCTTTTATTCAAATTTTAATATTATTTTTAGATTTATTTTTCTTGGCTGCACTGCTATATCAAAATCAAACTGCGTAGTTTCTTTTTTATGAGTCTTAGCCGACCTCTTTCTGCCTAGGCAGTACTTGCCTGCAAAATTTTAGGTAAGACAGTTAGAAAATGCGAAGAAAAAGGGGGGAGGGGAGCGTGGAGTTTGTCCAAAATGAAAGATAAGACTTAAGATTTTTACTTTTGTTTTTAGTATTCCAGCAGAGCAGCTCAAAATATTTATAATTGAAAATTTTAATGATGAATCTAAATTATTTAAAAGATTATTTGTATTCCTTTGCTTACCTTGATATTAATGTTCCTTGATAGTAATGTAATAATATTTTATATGTATAATTTTGATGCATGTGTTGGTGGTGATTTGGAATAGACTACCCAGGTAACAAAATATTATTTAATATTAGATAGATGCAATATATACTCCCATGCTAGAAAACGCTAGACTCCTGAATCCTATCTACTAATATTAGAGCTAATACTATATAAGATTAAATAGTATTTAATCTAACATTTAAAAACTTTCAAAATTATCATTACATTTGGTTTAGTGCCACTTTTTTGTGGAAGGGCACACCATATAATTAATAAACATTTATTTATGAAAGAAAACAATAAATTAAAATATTCCTTAAAATATAATTTTTCACCAATGCAATTTTATGCCAGAAAACACACAAAAATATCAGTCAAAGCAAATTCTGTTCCCAAATGATCAAAAACTGGAAAAACTTTTTTAATTGTTGAATTGTAACTTCATGATTATTTACATTGGTCAGCAATTGGAATGAATTGCTTCAAAAGTATTCACAATTTTGCACTTTTATTTAAACTTTTTAAATTTCAATAATAGTTACATGAAGTATTAAAATAGTATCATTGGTAATGTTTTATCCCTTAGATAAATATACTCTAGAAAAGTAGTAAAGCATTTCAAAGCATAATCTGTTAGAGAGGATGTTATAAAAGCATTCAACATACTTAGCAGCCTTGACCTTTGAATTAAAACAATTACTAATTTAATGATCCTGTATCCAATTAAGTCAGTAAATATTATGAAATATTTTCAGCATTATAATGAGTATTTTGTCTAGGAGTTAACTTCTGTGTTAAAACCTGTTGTCTAACTATAAATAACAAGTAGCGTAGTTAGTTCAGAATATGCTTGTAAAACAATGTTTACTTAGTTATTTGCATCTAACAGAATTTTTTTACAACAATGATTAAGATAAAAAAAAAAATTCTGTAAACAATTTTGCCATGCTAAAATAACTATCAGCTATTTTTAGCACAGTTAAATCTATTACATTTTAGAATATTTAAAATTTCATTCATAAGATGAACACTATTGTTATTTTATTGAAATTTCCTGTTAAAAATATTGTAAAATAATAAACATCTTTATTTTCATTTCTTGAATATAGACTGATCTGCATGTTTTTGATACATCATTATTTAAACTAATTTGTAAATGATAGCAAATGATTAAAAAATAAAACAATATGGCCTATTCAAAGTCATATTCACGTTAAATGAAGAGGAATGCTGGAAAGTAGGTACAATTTTTATTCAGAAAGTTTCAAAAAAATTTAAATATTTTCTGTTGGATCTATGAGCCTATGCATTGCACAAAAATACTTTGATGGTTAAGTGTCGTGTTTTATCTCAAAAAAAAAAAAATTTAAATATTGAATTTGAGAATTTTTTTTTATTAGTATATACTCAAATGTTCACATCAAATAAAAGGGACTAAAGAGTTTTGTGCCATAGATATAATATTTTTTTAAAAAAAAGAATAAAATTTTTACTTGAGAGGGATTATGAATAAAACTCATTTAGCTAATCCCTTTTCCTCTGTGATGTTTTTAGACTATATGGCGCTATTGAGATATTTTGACACAGGGATTGATACAGAAATCTATACATTGAATTTAATTTTAAAGGGTAAATAAATTTTTAAAAACATTTTCAAATGAAATAATTGAAGCTTCAAACATTCAATGCTTAATAGTTTTAACTTCTGTTTTTTCAATGTAAAGTTTTATTTTTCACTTATAATTTTAGCTGCATTTTTAAACTAATCTACTAGGAAGCAACACTTTTATCAATGCTCTCTTAGTCCATTCTGTCTTTTGACCAGATAATGTTGTGTTTAAATTTAAAAAAAAAATGCTGACAATGAATTTATAAATTGCATATATATTTTTAAAATCTTCAAACTTATGAATTATTCTTTAGAATACAGCATTTCTATAATAAATAAAAATCAAGGGAAAATGCTGGTTTATGTCCATTTTTCACAAAAAGGACGATTAGATAACCATCAGTTGCATTTTTCAGGATTGCTAAGTTTTAAAAAATCAATAACAAGGAAAATCGGTGCTGTCCGAGAGTTCTCTCTGATTACACATTGAAGATCGGTGGTGCTGAGGAAAAATGGTTACTGTCTGCCTGAAAACTTTTTTCCTCAAATCAGCTTTCATTGATATAAACTTTTCTTTCCCCTTGATCTTCAAATGAATAAGAATAAAGAAGCAATAATGTGCATTAACTAATATACCAAACTAGGCCTACCTGTTAAATTTAAAGTTTTCCAGAACTTTTCGACAACATTCAACTATGTTTTTAGTAGCAAATCTAAAACAAAAATAGTTCTACTTATCACTATTGAAAGCAAGGAGAAATAGAGAAGAAATAATGGTAATTCAGATACGGTATAATGACATACATACAGCCATAGTGAAAAATCCAGATAGAGAGTAAAATATAAAAAGATGTGGTCACCTGCCTACTACTACTCAATGCTGCCAGTTTGGTATCCCTTAGCAACGAGGAACAAATTTTTTTTTTCTCTTTTTGATTATTCTCCTATTTTTTTAAATATACTTTATTTATTATTATTCAAAACTATTTATTATATAAATTGTATTAAAAGAAGCATGTTTACTTATTTCTCACAAAAATCATACCTCCACAAACTGACGACCTTGGATTTATTACGAATAACAACCTGCAATGTTGCACAAATATGGAGTTAATATGCTAAAAGCCTGAGCAACAATACATTGTCAAACGTGATGTGATGCAAGTAAGACATTTCACCTGTGGTTTCAATGTGCCACATTCTGGTGAGTCAACATATTTCTGTCAGAATTTTATCGGATCTATGTATTGCGTGCTGAATTTGAGATGCCAATTTCTTTGATTTAAAGTACCAAGCTGTGTCGCTATATACATATATTGGTTATTTTTCTGGGTTATTGTGTATATTTGACTGGTCTAAAATGGTTGACAACAATGCTTCTTAACAAGTGGTGCGAGATGCAGTTAAGCCTCCACCATTTTGTCGCCAAGACCCATCATTATGGTTCATTCAACTGGATGTGCAGTTTAAATTGAGTCACATTACTGCTGACGAAACTCAATTTTATACAGCGATCTCCGCTTTAGAATCAGAGGTTCTCCAATCAGTTCGTGAAATTATCCTGAGTCTACCGATGAAAAATACAAATCTTTGAAAGAAAAATTAATTTCTGTTTATGCAGAATCCGAGACAGTTAAAATCAAGCAGTTATTGCAAGATTTACAGTTGAGTGATATGAGGGCTTCTCAATTGTTGTCAAAAACGTCAGACTTATCTGCCGGTAACCTAACGAACAACATTCTTTATACATTATCGATGAAAAGACTCCCATCTGACATGCAACCCATTTTAGCGGCGAGTAGTGAGCCACTTAAAAAGCAGACCGAAATAGCTGATAAAATACACAAGCTGGCTATGCCAATGCAAATATATGCAGTTCAGACTCCTGATCTAGGTATTGTGGTGTTACAGGCTCAAATTAATGATTTGTCCAAACAGGTCTCTCAGTTAGTAGCCATTCAAGCTGAATCTTTTCAGCGCCATCGCTCCCCATCACGTGGTCGATATGCACATCGTAGCCCATTGAGGAAACGTTATGAAAGCCCTACTCCAGGTATTTGTTTTTACTACCACAATTTTGGTGACAAGGCAAACAAATGTCCCCAACCAGGGAAACAAGACGGGCCATCGCTAAAAGTCTTGAACGACAGTGGACGGAATATTTCACGCCTTTTCGTCATCAATAAGAATTCGGGTTTAAGGTTTCTTGTACACACCAGAGCAAATGTATCTGTCGTTCCACCACATTTTCATGAGCAAAAGCGCCTTACCAAATTTCAACTTTATGCAGCAAATGGAACTCCTATACAAACTTTTTGTGAACGCCTGATATCTGTTGACTTACGATTGCACTGCAAATTCCAATGGCCATTCATTGCTGCCTCCGTTTCCGCCTGGGCTTTTGTGTACCCTATTTTGACGACGTTTTAATCACCATCTCTTCAGATCAAAAGCACTTCTCACATTTAAGAACTGTTTTTGAACGGTTTCAAAGTTACGGTGACAATCTCAATCCTTCCAAATGCGTTTTTTGCCAACTAAAAGTATTCTATTGGCCATAAAATGTCCGCTGATGGCGTTCGACCCCTTTCAGATAGAATCACCACTATCTGCGATGTGCCCGAACCATTTACAGTAAAGGACTTAAGATTTCTTGCCATGCTCAATTTCTACTGATGTTTCTTACCTCATGCCACGACCATACAAGCACCTCTAAATTCTTTTTTGGTTGGAAGCAAGAAAAATAACAAACGGGTTACAACCCGGACCACAGAATCACGCGAGGTGTTCCAAAAGAGTAAAATGATTTCATTCTGGCAACAAATTTGTAATATCCTTCAGCATCTAAACCATTATCACTCTACGTTGACACAGGCATAGGAGCAGTTTTACAACAGAAAGATCAAGAATCATGGAGACCACTTTCATATTTTTCTAAAAAATTCTCTCACAAGCCCTAACCAGAAACATCATTTACGATCGTGAATTATTAGGAATTTATGAAGCTGTAAAGCATTTTTCGACATATGCTAGAAGTACGTGTTTTCATGATCTCCACTGATCACAAACCATTAACCTTTGCTTTTCAACAGCGTTCAGATAAAGCCTCACCTCGTCAAATGAGACACCTAGACTTCATAAGCCGTTATGTTGAGGGTTCACAGAATATCGTAGCAGACACCTTGTCTCGTATCGAAGAACTAGCCATTAATTCGCCAATAAACTTTGCTGCCCTTGTGGATGAACAACATCAGGATACAGAATTACAAACCCTTTTGAAAAGCAAATCTACCAACAATATCAACTTGCAGCCAATGCAACTGTCATCTGAAAAACCATTTTATTGTGATGTTCAGGATTCAAGATTTTGACCTTATGTTCCCCTGGGTTTTGCCATGCCATTTTTAGTCAATTACGTCTGTCACATCCTGGCATCAAGGAAACTGATACAACAACATTTCGTGTGGCCTAGCATGCAAAAGGACATAGCAAACTGGACACATTCATGCTTGGAGTGCCAAAGATCTAAAACTGTCAGACACACCACAATCCCACCTAAAAATTTTAATTTGCCATCATCTCGGTTCAATCATGTGCATCTCGACTTGGTCGGATCATTGCCGTCTTCTAATGGATATTCATATCTTTTTACTTGCATTGATCGATTTACTCGCTGGCTCGAAGCCGTTCCTTTAGTGGATATTTCAGCTGGTACTGTGGCAAATAAATTTTACACTGTTTGCATTTCTTGATTTGGAGTTCCGGAACAGATTTCTACTGACCAGGGGCGTCAGTTTGAATCCCAACTCTTCACATTTCTATCTAAGTATTTGGACACTTAAAAAGTGAGAACCAGTCCTTACCATCGAAGTTCCAATGGAATTGTCGAGAGATTTTACCGCTCTTTAAAACAATCAATTCAATGCCACACTGCAGTACAGTGGACTGAGGTGTTACCTACCGTATTTCTAGGTCTTCGATCAGCGTTAAAAGAGGATCTGAATGCCTCTTCTGCCGAACTGGTATATGGTATTGTTCTCCAGGATTTCGTACATTCTGTCAATCCACCTACCTGCAACGTAGGTCCTTTTACATTCGTGCATCAACTTAGAAACTGCATGTAAAAATTACGACCAGTTCCTACCAGCGCTCATTGCAAACAAACTGTCTTCGTGCACAAAGAACTTAGAAACTCATCTCATGTTTTTCTCAGATGTGATGCTTCAAAGCCTTTTCTTGCACCAAAATTTTCAGGGCCACATCAAGCACTAGCTAGAAACGAAAAAACATTTAAAATTTTAGTCAATGAAAAAGAAGTCGTCGTTACTATCGAACGTCTTAAACCGGCATTTATCTGAACACCTGAAGCCACTGGAACACATGAGTCATCACCATCGCAAATTCCACATCTATCTCCCATGGACTTCCTTGCAAGCTGGTCAAAACCATCGACTGAAACCACAACTTCCAACTTATCAGATGCTACGACAATAACACACTCGGGAAGTCGAGTTTGCTTCAACCCCATGTATTTGTAAGGTATCATTAGAACTGGAGGGGAAGTACTGTGGTGAGCTGCCAGTCCAGTATCCCTTAGCAACGAGGAACAAAAAAAAAATAATGTTTTCTTTTTCTCTTTTTGATTACTCTCCTATTTTTTTTATATATATACTCTATTTATTATTATTTAAGACTGCTTATTATATACAGTAAAACCTGTCTATAACGATACTGTAGGGACCTAAATAAAATATTGTTATAGGCAGGTTATCGTTATAGACAGGTTTGAAGTGTAAAAGTATACGTTCAAAACTAATGATAAATTAAACTTCTTTTATAGGCTCCAAATGAAAATTTTACTTAGAATTATGAAACAGCACTGAAGAAAAATTTACTTACAATTTTATGAATCAAAACAGAAACTATTTAGAAAAATAATCGGTTAGTTTTGTTTGCTTATTTTTGGAAGCAATTGCCATTTCCATGCACATAGATTTCAGTCCATCTAATGAATTCAAATGAACATCAGTTACATTTGGTAATGTTGCAACAAAATCTTGCAAAGTGTTAATTAGCAATATGGCATTCTCGGGTGAAATTTGAGTCCTGTTTTGAGAACAGTCAGCTGCTTCTTCGTCATCACTTTGATCACCCGGGATAACTTCTGCTAAAATCTCTTCATCACTTGCACCACTGAAAACCAACACATCATTATCTAAATTTAAAAATTCATCTGCGTTAAATAGAAATGATGTATTAGATGATCTTTGGAAATCACTGACAATCGAATTTAAGCCTGCCACACATTTTTCTTCTTCATCAGTGATTTCAGTAAGCTCAGTTTCTGCGTTTTCGTTGCTTTTATACTCAAAGAAAGAAGCTTTCTACTAACAATTTTGGATGGTAGATTGTGTCGGTATGTTCTAAAAAGTAGTATGTTCTAAATAAGTAGTAGTAGTGAGGAATAGAAAAATCGGAATAGAACTATCAACTATCAAAATCGGAAAAAGTATCGTTGTAGACATGTTTAACTGAAAAGTGGTTATCGCTATAAACAGGTTAAAAATACATTGAGTAAATAGGAATTTCACCGGGACCGCGAGGAAATATCGCTATAGACAGGTTTATCGTTATAGACAGTATCGTTATACACAGGTTTCACTGTACATTGTATTAAAAGAAGCGCGCCTACTCATTTCTTACAAAAATCATACCTCCACCAAGATAAAAAATTGAAAGTGATGAACAGTGCGCAAAATAAAAAAGTGAGCTCACTGAATAACTTTTCATCTAATATGATCAGATTTTACTGTATTAGGACATAATCTTAATGGTTCAAGGGCTTAAACTTGATTGCGCTAGTAAATTTGTGCAGATGTTATTTTAAATTAAGAAATTAGACAGCACAAAAGCGTACTTTCTCTGAAAAAGCATATCTTTTTTTTCAGGCAGATTTGGATTCTAACCACCAAAATATGGGTGTGCCGCAAATTATGTGGAATCTATCATGCCCATTTACCAAGTACATCCTGGTATTGAAAAGGATTAGTTTGAGATGGAGACATCACTTTGTTATGTTGGACCCATAACTCCTTGGTCTCAATCCTATAAAACATTTGTGGAATGAAATCGAAAGTTCTTCATCTAAATCCACAACCATCTATTTGATTTGCTTAAATAGTTCCAAATATACGGCAATGTATGCAAAAAGTTCAAATCTGCCAACAAAAAAAAGGTATATTTTTTCAAAGAAACTTTGCACTTTATTTTGCAATTTAAAAATATTATTTGCACAAAATGAAGTCTGATGATAAGTCATATCTACAGGTCCTATTCTCATACTCATGGATTTAATTAATTATCTTGAAACATTAGGATTCCCTTGAAAAATTCAGATTCCATCTTAAAAGTAAAAATCAATTTATTTGATCATGAAATTTTTTTTATTTCACACAGTTTAAGTTGGAAAGTTATTTATAAGGATTAATGTATTTATTTAGAAAAAAGGAACAGATTGAAACTTGAGTACTTACTGTTGTAAATGAGATACCATATTTATTTTTTTGTGTTGAGAACTGTAAGAGGAACCTCTGTCAATAGCAATCATAGTATGATGGTTAAGAATAGTTACATCTTCTAAAAATTGTTTAGAATTATATTTGGAACAAATTTGAAAAAGTAGAAGAGGTATCTGTCGAAAACACTGCATGCTAGAGAGTCGACCTAAACATTAAAAACAAAATCATGAATTAATAAATGCAAAATAGAATTAAGGGTACATAAAAAACAAAAGTTCTCCTTTTAAAAATATTTTTGGTGACTGTCAATGTTGAAAGGCTATTCTGGTCTAAAATCTTTGAACATGAACAAAAATTAACTAATATATTGTGAAAGGTATCCCACATGTTATAGAAAATATTTTAGTTTAATAAAAAATTTGTAGGAATCCAAAGGATACATATATAAGAATTTTGGTTAGTTTAAAATTTTTTTTAAAATAAAATATATCAATATTCAATCAATATTGTCACACTGAAAAGCCAGAATTAATCATTGTCAATCTTCTTAACTCACAAAAGGTATGCCTGGTAGCGGAATTCCCTAAGTAAATCTATAGGACAATTTCATAAATTCCTATTTGTCTGTCTGCTTGGAAAAAAATAAAATAAAAAATATCTTTTAAAATTTTTTATAAAATTTCAATTAATTAAAAAATGATTTAGACATTTTTAAAAGCCAATTTTCCTTTGATGAACATCTGCAAAATACTTTTTTAGTTTCATTTTTCAGATAGTTCAGAGAATCTATATAAGGAAATATTTCCAATTAGCAGATTTTTTTATGGCTTTTCCTTTTTGTGTCTAATTTCAAAAGTGACTTGTCTTATCTTTCAATGAAGAGAAAAAATAATAATTTTTTCTGTTGGATTTTAGTTTTTTCTAACTTTTTCTTCTAAATTTGTGATGAGAAATAAATTGGAGATGCTTTGATAATCTGCATTATCGATGTTCTGCAAGCAGGGTTGTCTTAATAGCATGAAGGGTCCCAGGGCACGTAAATGGTTTGGGCCCCTTTAACATGTAATACTGCTTAAGATCGAGGTATAAAAATTTCACAAACATTAAATGTAAAATTAAACATTTTAAAACATGCAATAATTTTGAGATATTTGAACACATTTTGATTTCTCTGAAAATTTAATACGCATAAAATTAAGCATTTTTAAGATATTTATAATTTAAAAAAATTTGAGATGGTAACTAGCCGTAATCTTCACATTCTAATTAATTTTCAAAAAGACAAAAGGTAATCACAATAACTAAATGGACAAAATTAAAGATATAACCCCTTGGCAAAATAAAAACCTTTAATAATTATTTTAAACAAATTTTGGAAACTTTTTTATTCACAAGCTCTTCGATTATTTCGTCAAATTCGATAGTCATTAACACATCACTTTCAATGCACATCAGACATAGCCAGTTCCAGCGCTGCTGTCCCATAGTGCTGCGTAATTGACTTTTTTATCAATTTTAGCTGAGAAAACGATCGTTCTTCGGTACAATTTGTGATCATCATGCACAAAAAAATTCCTAATGCTATTTCAATGTTGGGAAACATCGATTTTAAGCCTCCAGAAACAATTTTTTCATATAATGCAGGAAGTCCAAAACTATTTTCTTCTGAATTTAAAAAATGTTTAAAATGGATGCATTAATTTAATATGTCATCGTAATCTAAATCATTCTTTTATGCATTTACTAGATTTTTGCATTTATCAATCATTTCATTGAATTCAATGTCCATTAGATTACTTAAAAAGTGAACATTTTCCCCTATATTTTCATACGCTTTTCCACGTTTACTTATTTCAGTTATTAACGAGTCTAAAGCAGGTAGAAATGCCTCCACTTTAAACTTATCACTTCCACTGAATTTGGTTTCCTTTTCCCGACCATCATGCCTTGTGAGACGTATACTTCATGTTCTGTCTCGTTTAGCTAAATATTCAAAATCACAATTCGGCATGTTATTTCTGGCTCTTGATCCATAAATCACTAAATTTCTCTCTGAGATCAAAAAATATACTTTTAAGGAATCAAATAGTTTAGAAGCTGTACTCAAATTTATTTCAGGTGATTGTAAAAATATGCTAGTTTTATTCACCCTTTCAAGAATATCACTCCATAAGATAGTAAAAAAAATTATTTCTAATGTGCTCATTTTTTACAAAGTTTATAAGCTTCCCTCTTTGTACTTGCATCTTGTTCAGTGTCATTTGCTAATAAATAAAGAGCCTGTTGAATTTTTTCATAGCCTTGATTTGACGAATGAACTGCGTCAGACCGCGATGACCACCTAGTGCCTGACAACTGTTTTATAACTTTTTCACCATCTAGAGAAGGAATTAAAATACTCTACCAGTCACTTGCTCATCCTCGTTCAATGAGATTCACCTCACAGATAAGATTAGGTTCTGGTATAATTTTACTTCAATTGGTTTTCAAGGTATTGGTACTTGGACTTTTACAGATGAGGATAGGTACTTTCTTGGACTTTTCAGACATCCTTGGGATGTAGCTGTTTGAAGTAACAAAGTTGATTGACTAGGTGAGAAAAATCTATCTTGTGGAATAGGCATATTTTGATTGCAAGGTGCAGGTTTCCTAGACTAATTTTTCTTGCATTACCATGTGGAGTCCTAGATCTACGTCTAGAAGGTCTAGTGAGGGTTCCCTGAACCTCGTATTGAGATTCTGTTTGGCGATCTTGCTCAGGTACGGCGATTCTTGTTTCTTCTGCAATCAGTTCAATTAGAATATTTTTGAAAGTGAATTGTCCCTCTTTCCAATGAAGGATGTTCTGAATAAGTTGATCATATTCCTCAGGAAGATATGTGATAAGTTGGAATGATTGGTAAATATCCAGAAATGTTTGGTTAATCCCACGGAGATCCTCTGTATTTTCTGAATACGAGCCACAAAGAGATTTACATGCTCACCCGACTTGATTCGGCAAGCTACTAACTCGGAAAATAGTTGTATATGACGGCATGCATTTAAACTGAGGCGAAAGGTTTAAAAATACTATAAATTGTGCAATGCGAGACCTTTTCTGGTAGTCTGTTACTTGGATTCCAGTAATTCTGGTTTAACCCGCAACAGGTGAAACTTCAGTACCGTTTACAATGTCCCATGCTTAGTTCTGTAAAAGAATATACTGAATGTATGCCAAGCAGTGTAGTTAAACTGGTTTAATTTCTCCACAGACAAGTTAGGTTGTAGAGTTGTTATTGTTTAATGTTTGCCTCCTATTCTCTCAAAAGAAATTTAAATTTATATTCACGTTGCAAGAACATAAATAAAGCTTGTTCGAATTTAGGCCTGCTGGTACAGTTCGCATATGCTGGCAAATATAAAAACAGAAGTTTTCAAAACGTGAAAAAAAAACTTATGCCTTCTGTTTTTGCGTAGTGTATGCTTCCAAACTTGCTTCTTTATAGAACTTCTTAAATTACTGAGTAAACTTCATAGGCTGACATCTGGGATTTCGTTAATATGAAAGAAATGTCCCCCCCCCCTGTTTATGCGAAGCATTAGCCTGTGAAACATAGTTTTTACATTTAAATTTCTATCAAATTTTTTTTTGTTAGGAATCCAGTTTTTAGAGGTTTATATATATATACAGTAAAACCTCCTGTTATGGACACTCCTGCAAAACGGACCCCTCTCAATACGGACATATTTTTCATTCCCCGAGAATCTTCTATGAATAAACCATTACGTACATTCTCCGCAAAGCGGACACTCCTGTAACAGGACGCGGACAGTCATTTTGGTCCTGAAACGTTGTTTTTTTATCTCTACAAACCGGACACTACTTTTNAATGATGGATTCTGTCCCTAAATACCTTATAGTTCTCGAGTCTATGATTCTTTATTGCTAAAAATTATTTCTAACATTTGCACATAGCTTTAAGCAGAGTATCAGTAACCATTTTCCCCTTAACATACATATATATATATGTATATGCATATATACATACATACATACATATAGTACAAAGTCGCATATCTGTATGTCCATTCTACCGGAAAATGTCACATTTCCGGACATTTTTTAACATTCAAAATAAACAAAACTCTTTTCTTTTTTCAAAAAGGAAGAAAAAAAGACAGAATAATTTTATTTATTTTCTTGCATTTGCGACCTGTTAAAAAGAGTATGGGGGGATGAGAATCCTTCGTTTTTCTGCTGTTTTATAATTTCTGTCATAATATGGAAAAAATGGATATCACGGCATTTTACTACAGCTCAAAAAATAATTCTTGCATTTTTTCTCATATCTTGCATAAAACAATTATTATTGCCAAGAATCACACACTCAATTTCTGAATGTGAAAAAATTTCCCATTTTGAAAAAATTGCAGAATTGAGATAAAATTGCCACGTCATAATGTGATTATTCAAAAGCTCAAATCAGAATTCGCAGATCATAATAATATTATATTATAAATAAAATTTCAATGACACAATGAGGAGATCTCACACTGTTGAAAATGCAATCGAGAAAACTATGTGGACAATAAAACCATCACAAATCGAAAGCACCAAAAGGCAATTCTTCAAATGTGCATGATAATGTAGCATTAAAAAACGAAAATCCATAGCAATAACTGTCAAAATGTGATCGCATATCCACGTGGGTTTGCAAGTGAATCATCAATAATTGAGTGCGAAATTCGCGATTCGAAGTTTGCCAAACAAAATAACGTCGAATTAAAACACGGAGATTTTAAAAACTAAGTGAATATCCGTTTTAATAACTATAAGATAAAAAAACAATCGACAAAACTACGAGGATTCACTGTGGAATCATCGCTAATCGAGTGGATGAAGAAATTATTACTAACTGAAATGCGCGATGCAGAAAGTGCAGTAGGTTACAATGGCATAGTAAAATATCTAGATTTTAAAAACCAAGTGGAAATCTGTAACAAAAGCTATGAAAATAGCGCTACCACATGCATTTATACGACGCTGATTGAAATTGATGTTGATTATCATCTATTTGTTATTTTTATTGAATAAGGATGTTTGTTTACCTTAAAGACCTATTATCCGGGGAAAAAACTATTTTCTGCACTTGGCAAAGTCCTGATGATTCTGGATATGGGACGTTCGACTGCATATATGCATATATACATACATATATATATAGATATATATATCTAGTATAACCTCATAGAACTCGAGCTCCCCAACCCAACAACACAAAATGCGAATTTTTACTTGGGATTATTTAGCTTAGAAGTTATTAATAAAGCCAGATTTATTACTTTAACCATAACACATATATGCTATACAACTATCCAGAAGGTTACTTAAATAAAATTTCTCACTTCTCATATAATTTTCCATTGTAACTTAAACCTTTAATCAATGAGGGTAAATCTAATTATATTTTTACATAGACAATTCCTTTGTAAAAGTATAAATAAAGAAAAAAAACTTAAAATATTCCTATTTAAGTTATAAAATTGTACCAAATGTTGTCTAAGATATTGGACAGTAAGTCTCAGGAGGAGAATGTTTTGTAGAAATGTATAAATATTATAATCAAATTTAGAAGATAAAATAACAAAGAATGTATCGATAAAACCTTAAATGTGATAATACTCACCATAAAGTTCGTTAAATAGCATCTTATCTTTCTGTGAACAGGATTTCCGAAAATACAAATCAATAGTACTCATGATTTCTTTGAACGCTGTTACAATTAAATTCAAGCTGTAATGGAAAATTAACCGTTAAAATAAATGACAAAAGGTTAAAAGAAAAAAACTTTGAATGTAAGATACTTACTGAACTGAGAGATATTTTTTGACAACATCATTAGAATTGAAATGTAGCTCCATATTTTCGCAAGCATTAACACATTCAAATATAAGAAAAGTCACAAAATCTGAGCTGAGAATGGGGCTAGAAAAAGGATATCAGTGTGTTTCAAAATGAAACAAATTGAAGATAATTAGACAGTTAGAACTTTAACATGAATGAGAAGATAATGAAACAAAGTAACATTAATAAAATGTGAGAAAATCTATATCTAAGCAGTAAAGTAGGGGGAAAATGAGAGAACTATTATCACACTTTTAGGATCAGAGTACAACCCTAGTTTTAGGATGTTAGTCCTACCTCATGTTTAGGATAAAAGTTCAACCCCACCATTGGTTACTCAATTAGGGTGCTTTGGCCTTATCAGGGTTCCTGTGGATTTATTAAGTATAAGAAAAAGGGTTATCAGATTGTGAATTTTTAGCTACTGTTCTGTTTTACTAAACTAAACTCAGTAGCATGACAACCCATAAAGGGCCAAGGCCTACTGTGCCCATCTCAGTTTTCCTGACCCTGGGCTCTGGGGTGCAGGAGCAGATGTTGCGGTAAGATGGTCACCTGAACGTGGAACCCAAAAAATTTAGTTCCCAAAAATGCTTGGTACTCCTGTTATTGATCCACTGAAGGGATGAAAGGCTGAGTCAACCTTGCCTGGCCCGAAGATCAAACCTTCTGTTTTGGGAGATTTTTTAAAAAAATTATGAGATTTATTTTTTTTTACGTTAATCAATAGGATATAAAAGGCTGATGAATGTTAATGAAGTATTTGAAGAGCTTAGTGGAAGAATCCACTAAGTGACATTTTAGTGAATTTAAGTAAATGAGCGTAAAAATTTTATGCTTCTCCTTTTGCTTATTTCCCTCAATCTTTAAATTTTTAGTATATGTGTGAAGACGAAACTCATAGTCATGGTTATGAAGCAATTTGCAAAGACTTAATACTCTAGGAAGTTTTATTATTGTGATTTGCACTTAAATTTAGGTGTAATTTTACCATTCATAAGAGGTTTTTGTAATTTATAAATTCCAACAGCTTGTGAGCCTAAAACAAGTTAAAATTAATACCGCAGCATAAAAAAAAGTGTAAGATTAGCCATGTTTTGAGTGTTATCCCTGATTTGGATTTATTTGTCTAAAATAGCACCGTTTGTTACTTTTTTGATAGCATCATAGCAAGCTTGCGGAGTGCTCTGAAATCATTTGTTGTTTGTTTCGTTGAAAGTTAGATTGAAGGAACGTGTTATATTACAACACTGTAAGTATAATAATATTGGATGCTGCGTTTTTTCAAGTTAAGGAGTAAAATCAGTTGGAAGTAGTAAGCTGGAAGTCTTATGACGAATTTTAACCCCTAGCACCATTTGCACTTAGCTTTACACAGTCAACCATCCATAAAGGAAGGTTTTAATGATTTTTTTGCATAGCATTTGGTTGTTTTCACGGAGGATTTTTATAATAATTTTCAACGAATATAATTTTGTTTGAAAAGATAAAAAAAATTACAAATATTTAAGCTTGTATTCATGCAATAAAATTTTAGTATCTTTAATTTGCAACAGACTGGCATCAAGTTTTATCTAACCTCGTTAGCCCAAACACCGATCAAATGTGATTTAGAGTCAGTGTGAGCTCAACATTCGCGAAGTAGATGTTTTACACGTATGTATTGCTTTAATTGGTGAGAATTCACAAATTTTTCATTTTAAAAAAGCATTATTTGAAATAGTGCTGATTGTGGTAGAAATGTTACATCATTTTGTTACATCTAAAGATACGTCTGAAATTAAATAAAAATATTTCTATTAGCCTTAATACAAAAAATATCAAGGTATAGTAGTTGAAACAAGTAAATTATTTTCAATTTTTTATGAAAATGTGCAGTTCCATGCAAAAAATAACACTTTTCTAATTTATAAAAATGTTTGCATATTTTTTCTATCGTGGTAAACTATGCAACTCCCATTTTTCTTTAGAATTTAGGATACCAGTTAATGAATTTGTGCAGTTGAATACCAGTCTACTCAGTGTAGATGCAAATATATTTTACAAGTACATTTTCAACTTCTTAGCTTTGAATCTAGAAGACAATGCGACTTTGTTTAGAAAAAAATTTGATTTATTAATGTGTTGTTGCTGTTTCTATGCCATTTGCTAATGCCAGCAAGCCAGCCAAGCAAATTTAAGGCAGAGGGTACGTTTCTTGTTTTTCAGAGGCGCCATCTATGGCCAAGAATGAGATGGCAGCCACACACACGTCACAGCCCGTTTATAGGGCGGGTCCAATCATACATCCATTCTTTCATCCACAGATCGCAATTTTGACCTGAACCAGAGAATGATCAATCTTCAATACAGTACCTCTAGAGGTGCAATTTGTTATAAGAACATGGAGACCTCAATAAATTTAACGTGCAAAAGTCACTATTTACTACACAGCACAGGGAGTATATAGTTGTTAAATATTTCGCTGTCCGAATGGTTATTCATGGCAGACAAATGCAAACATTTGAAGAGGTTCAGCAGAGAGAAACTTGGAAAAAAAGGGGGAGCCTGTTCAGCTCTGCAGAGAGAATGAGAAATAGAAAGACAGGCAGTAGACATATGTGGCAAAGTTGCAAAGTTTTTAATATGTATATTGATTAATATTAGTTTCTTAGATGCAAATTTAAAATTTGTAAATTGAAAAATTATTAAAAAATTTTAGCTATACTGTTTGAATTTTATATTTTAAGCTGACGGACTCTTTTTCTCTATATAAATAAAGAAATTGGCATTTTTCTAAACACATATGTTCATTTTAAAAACATCTGTAGAAAAAAAAAGAGTCTCAGGGAGAATTTTTAAATTTTTCTATATTTATTTACAAATATGTTTACATCAAGCTAATTAAAACAATTCTTCTTTCTGTAAAATTATTCTTTATAATAATTTTTAAAAAAAAACGAACTTGCAATTTAATAGGCAAAATAATTTCAGGCATGATAACAAAACAGGGCATGATGTCATCAGATAGAATACGTAGTTGCAAAAAATGTACTACTAATTTTTTTGCAAAACTTAGCTATTATGCCATACAGAAGGGAAAAATAAATTTAATATGTAATTATTCAAAAGCCAGTCGATGCATTAATAACATTTTCATATCAGAATGTTCTTTAAATGTACATGAAATTTCAAATTTTTATTATTGATTAATTTTTACGCTAGAGTTAGCCTTTGTATTCATGTGTATGATGTAGAGTGAAAAATACACTTATTTTAACACACACATGAAATTTCACAAAAATGATGAATTAGCTAAAATCAAAAAACAAAACAATTTAATGACAAAAAAAATTATCATTGTTCAATATACCTAATATGATTAAAGCTGAGGTTTACAGAACCAGCCAAATGAAGAAAGTAACTTAACATCCAAAACAGTACAGATTTATCAATTCCAACTGGTGATCCTTTCAGAAGTAATTCCTAAATGATAGAGGAAAGAGTGAAAAAAATTAACCATCTAAATGTCTGAATAAATTCAATTTTTTTTTATTCCAGTAGTAGTCTGCAATGCAGCTTCACAAAATGTCAGCTACTTAGATATTTTTATTCGATTATCAGTTTACACAAAGTGATTGTTGTGTGCTGATTGACTGCCATGCATTAAGGTAAGGAAGCTTAATAATTTTGAAATAGATAAATAATACAAGGAATGAAATGAAATGACACTCCAAAATTAATTTATATTTTGTGTACAGTTATTCTTTATTTTTTTCCCTCGATAATAGAATATTATCTCAAAAACAGTGGCTGAGATATAAATTAATTTTGGGCAAAAAACATTAGAATGTATTGCACAATAATACAGTTGAAAAAATCCCGTTTTAGATTATACTTCTAAAAACATTAATTTTAAACGATCTCTCACAAGAGTTCTAATTCAAATAATAAATAGCTGTTATAAAAATAGCAGTAAAATGCAGGAACTTTGAAATTTGTTATAGTTTATACTCTTAAATTTTGTCTTTTAAAACCTTTACGTCCAACAATGAGTTTAATCTATGGAAAAATTTAAACTTTGTAATGTAGTCAAGTTAAAAAGTTAAAGTAAAAATTTTAGTTTCTGATAATTTATAACTTAAAATACACTAAATTATTTTTATCTATGATTTCAGAACATGAAAATGCTAACTGTTAAAAGATTTGAGCCATAGTGGCACCTCAAGTTTATTTCTTGTTAATGTAAGCGAAGAAAAAAATTCTATTTAAATAAATATTTACTCTTCCATCCTTCATGAAGTGTTCTAAATCTTCAAAAAGAACATCCTCATAAAATAATAGAAATTTAGTCATTTTGAAAAACTGTAAAGTTTTAATACAATATCAGATGAATTATAAACTAATTGTGTATTATTTACTTCCCTTCCTTTGCATTTGGTTTGCCATCCATTTTAAAGGATTTTTATGCTTTTTCTTTTAATCAGCATGCGCAATCAAATCAACAGAACAAGATCTAACTTGTTTGCTTTATAGCCCACAAATTATGTATTCAAAATATTAAAATAATCTACTTTTTGCTAAGCTGCTCCTCATACAATAACGGAAATTGTTGATCATTATGTTAATAAAATCAAATACCATAATAAACTATGAAAAATATCAAAAAAATTTATAATACCCAAGAACGCATGGGCTTTATCAAAAGGTGAGCTCAACTAGAGTTTATTTATTATGTAATATGAAAACTTGTTCATAAGTCGGGTAAATTCGGCAAAACTGATAGTTAATTAATTCATTTGAAATTTCATAAAATTTTCCAAGAAAACTAAAGAAAGCTGTTTTACAAAACTGACGCTTGTGCATTCTAGAGTCTCGAACATGCCGGTTATAGAGTTATTTAAAAAATTTAACTAGTTAAGCACAAAATTTATTTTTAAAAATCTCCTTTAGGGTGTGCAAATGAAATCAAGCCATGACGTGTATACATGTCAAACACAAGACAAATGGTCCTATTATAAATTTTTTTTTAAAAATTATAAAAAATAATAAAATATATAAGATTAGAAATAAAAATAATAGCAAGGTGAAATTTGAGGAATAGATAGCTTCTGGATTGAATGCATCAAATTCTTGTTGTGTTCAGTTTAAACTTGTCTAGGATTTTGCATCGTAGAGCTAATGGCTAGTACTGGCCCTGCTAAATCTCTACAAATCAATGCTCGCTGTCAAGGTTACGGCTTACGCAGGTAATCATTTTCGGGTTGCAAGCCCTCACAAAAAACTTAGAACAGCAATTTAACTTTTTCTTCTACTTTTCAGCAGCTTTTTTTTTTCAATTAAGAACACTGTGAAATTTACAAACTTCCAATCCTGATTTTTAATATAAAATAATTTCTACGATTCAATACATGAATAAAACATAGTTTTACACAAAATGCAAAGAAAAACTAACCATCATTCTGTCATTTTAATATTCAGTAATTTCCATCCTTCATTTCAGAATAGAAAGATTCCCAAAATGACTGATCATTGGAAGACAAGTATTCAAAAAATGTCTTTCCATTCTATCCTATTTATCAATGTTTTTGAAATAAATATTTACTTGTCAAGGACTTTCTGTGCAGCTGATAACGATAGGAAGAGCCAGAAGATTATAACTAAAGCTTCCTACTCAATACTTTTTAACATTATCAAGAAGAATCACAATACATTTGAGGTCTGGGAAACTCTTTTACAAAGTCAAAAAATTGGTTCTTTTGGGTTTTTGACTTAAAAAGTTCAAACCCAAACGTGTTCTTAAACAAATTGAAAACTATGTTCTCAAATTATATTCTAAAAAATAGAATCATGAAACATAAAAATAAGAACTAATAAATGTAATCTAATGATAATTGAAAAGGGACTGTTGAACCGAAAGATTTGATTTTAACTGCTCTATTTTCTTTTCGAATTGCAGATTTAAGTGGATAGCTCGTATTAAAAGTAGGATGAACTACTTGGAAATGGCATTCAACATTATGTTTTTTCTGCATCATAACACTATTTTCACATAACAAGCAAATACATTTTTATTTGAATTAACGAAGCAATACGATTCCTCCCATTCGGAATTAAAATTATAAGTATGTTGTCTTTTGCTTGATGCACTAATTTCAGTGTAAACAAAGGAAGTATTTAAGTTATAAAGAAGTAAACGCTGTACACAAAAAATATGAACATGGAAACCACGAATCGAAAAAGATGTAGATGAAACAAATTAACGTTATTTAAATGCAATTTTCCAGAAATGAGTTTCGGAAAAACAACTTCGTAGTACGGTAACCATAAAAATGCACCCATTCATTTAATTTCAGGTGTGTGAAATTAGTGTAGCGAAGACTTGACGCGAATGGAAATAAGGTTAGCTATATTTTACTTTATGTTTATATTTGTGGGGATAGAGGTCATTTACCTGGCAATTTCAATTTTGGTTGTGTTAATCATCAATATTGAAAAAACAAAAAAATTTGCAAAGCATTTTATGGGAAAATGGAAAACTAAAATATTGCATTGTTGGGCACAAGCAGTGGGCTCACCTAGACCGATCGACGGGCACCATGGTGTCTGCGGGCATAGGGTTGGGCAAAAACTTGAAACAAAAATATACATTGTTTGGTTCATATAATCGAGAAAATTGACATGATTGATCCATACAGAAAGAACAAATAAAAGTATGGAGCAGAGAAATATCCAAAAAGAGATGGTTAGATGATACAATGAAAGATCTAACCAGAATGAACTGGAACAACATTATTCAGTACGGTAATGACCACAGGGGGTTGTAGTGACATAACAGAAGACAATTAAAGGCAAATTTTTTAAGTTTTCTTAAATAACTCAAATACATTACAAAAAGTAAACTTAATAATAAAATGTTGAAACTTTCCAGCACTCTCCTGAGTAAACTATTGAGATTATATTTCATCTTAAATAAGTATTTTCTTTAAACAAAATATTTTGGTGTAAGTTTTTGCAATGTAATTTGTAGGTGAAAGTAATTAATAAGTAACTAGTAGCATATTTAAAGTAGCTAATTAGTAACTAGTAGCAATTAGTAACTAATTAGCATATTTAAAGCTAAATCAAAATTCATTCAAGGTTATATATTTTTCTGTACAAAAGTAAGCAATAAAATAAAATTACCTTGAATGGAATTAAATTGAAAAGCATGTAGCATTATTAATAGATAATTATTTTAAATTAGTATTAAAATTAAAAGGAAAGTAAAAAGAAGCTAAATAATATTTTCTTAGGGTAAGAAAAAACAAACGTGTTAATAATACAAAATGCTTAAAAGTTAAAAATGAAAGAAACTCAAGATTAATACAGACACTATTCTTACATAATACATTGAAACCCAGAAAGATGGATTTCAAAAATTTGTAATAAAATAGAAATGTTTACTTTGCAATATACTCATAACTTACCTTAATTTTTACTGCTAAATCTGAAAACCCACTATGAAGAAAGCTTAAAGTAAATTCCTTAAGAAGGAACCTAAACATAATATAAACATTAATAAAGAATTAATAATAAGTGCATTCAAAATTTTAAAATACAAATAATAAACTGTTAAAGAAAATAGGTTTGTTTTATAATTAGTCAAGCATTCAATATTTGAAATTTGCCTATTGACGATCTATTCCTATAATGCAGTTCAGGTCATTATCACTCTCCTTTCCATTTTTTTTAATCCAACCAATGAGGAAAGGGAGCTTCTGAACACACTTTCGTAGAAAATATTCGGAAAAAAACTAGCTCATGCTTAAGTTAAATACACAAAAACTTACCACTATTTAGGCCTGGAAACAATTGCACTCGAAGCAATTTAAAACTAGTGACAGAATGCAAAAACACTTGTTTTTCACTGAGTAGCATACAATCCAATCGCCTGAAGATTCAAATCATTTTAGTACATATTTGAAATCTTAGGTCTTTGATATCTTATACCTTGTTTTCATTATCAGGTTTAAGCTTTCTTAAGATACACTTAAGCTTATTTAAACCAGTTTTTTGAATTTTTAAGCTTTCTTAACTTGCTAATGGAAAGAGCGTATTAGGAATTAATCCCTTCATTGGTAAGTGAGCTCTTGATCTCTATAGATATTCTAGTGCAACCTAGATCCTTTTAATTTACTTTCTATACAGCATTGAAAGGTCGATTCCAAACAGATTTGCGACTGCAAATATTCATCTCCATAACCTTGTGATTTTGATACCAACCCAGAAGATAAGGAAACTCAGGTCAAGAATTTGGGTTAACTAATTTTCACTCAGGAAATTTTGAGTGAAACTAGTCTGCATTTGTGTTACATGGAGAAGGAAATCTCAGAGTTTCACCAATGAGGAGAGCACTGATAAGGAAAAATTCTGACACTTAATCCGTTAACTGCTGGTATTAATCATTTGGTATGTATGTGAAGAGAGGTTATTGTATTAATTAAATTCCATAAATATATATATTTTTTGGGGGGGGAGTACAATAATTTTTTATTATTTCAGTAGATATTCAGTTTTACACTACCAGGTTGAACAAAACCAGGTGTGTAACGAAATTGAAAAGCAAACTGCGAATCCGAACAAAAAGCATGGTTTATTTATATCACTGAATAGTGGGTGCAGATCCTTTTTAATATTTAGCAGAGTGGCAACAGGTCACAAGTTCATAGAACTACTAAATTCCTTCAGTTGAAGAGCAGTCCAACAGACTTCACCATATAGTTGCAGGTCAAAATAGAAAAGCCCTTCAGGGACATAAGTATGGACTTTGTCGTGTTGTACATAAGCTTTTAGAGTATGTCTAATAATAGCTGCAAGAATAAGTATTCAATAGATTTTCCAAGTTCATCAATTCAAGTGATCATGTTGAATCTCAGACCAGGTATTTCTAGTTAGAATACAAAAGAGTTGGCATCAATTTAAAATGTTGGTCCTCCATCTCATTTACTTCAACGCCCACCATCAGGGTACCAAAAAAATTTACAAATCCTTCACTACTGATATGCTTACAAAATGTACAAAATGAAAGAAGAGAGTTAAATACTATGCAACAACCAACCATCTATTTAGCATAACATCAATGCTAATAGCAAGTGTATAGAAAAATTAAGTATTAAATCTTTCTTGAAAAAAAATATATAAGTAAATTTTTTACTTAACGTTAAAAACGAAAGCCCTGCTTCTTGGTGAAACAACATGTGAGCACCAAGAGAGACATATTAAGATCTGAGTGAAAAGAAACATTGAATTTCAAGAAGTAACGTCAGTCAAGCTACAAAACGTTACAAGTGCTGGTATGCATTGAAAAATTAATTCATTTACACTCCAGATATAGTTTTAACAATTGAAATATAATTTGTTCTTGGAACTACAGGACTTATTTGTCATTCAAATAAAAATGTAAGTATTTTTTTCCCACCTGGCTGCTTAAGAGAAAAAACATAAAGTTGTTAAACTTTCCTCGACCCTATATAAACGAGCATGTGAGATAAAACTGGTAGCAAAAAATAGTGAGTTTATTTTCTAGGAAATAGATTTTGTTACATTAAATATTATTTATTTTTAGAATGAAAGAACTAATTCATAATTTAAATAAAAATGTTAGCAACTTTATTTATATAGTTACTAGAGAAAACAAAACTGTTTTCTAAACTAAACAAAGGGGGATAAGTTACAGTAATAAATTCTTTTTATCAGAAAAATTTTTTTTCATAAATTTCAAAAATTAAAAAAAAGAAATGATACGAAAACAAAAGAAAGTGACAGTTAAGTCTAGCTCCCACCTTTCCAAAGTAACCTCAACTTTCACTTGCCGTGACGTTGTTAATATAACCATTTTCTACTCAGCAGCTCATTAAGATATACTCGATATCTTAAGCTGCATGGTGATGCATCGAATTTTATTTTGTACTTAATTAAATGTAATTTTATTAATCAATCGTTATGTAAATGTTAAATGATTTCTTTTAAATATTAATTGGTCCTAGTTATTTATTTTATTATTTATTAAAATTACAATTAATGCTAAAATAGGGAGCGCTTGTTTATTTTTCTGACAAGAAGGGGTTCAAAATTATCAAAAATACACTTATTAATATTTGGATATTATTTTGAACCAAACAACTCAATAATTTATGCTTTCGAATTTCAAGAAGCTAAAAAAAATTTGAGACTATACCCAATATCGTCATCAGATGGAGCAGAAGAATTGACATCAATTAAAGTGGATATGCTACTTCTTTTTTCCCATAATGGATATTTTATTCTACCTTTGGAAGAGGATGTGGCTAATGCTGATTCTATGCATACAAATGGAATGCAACCATCTTTTCTACGAGGACTTTTCCCCCGTCTGCCTGGTGGTGGATGACTTCTTTGCTTTATTTTAATCATTTGAAAATCCTCATTACTTGAATCACTTTCTGATAGCTTAGATTGCATTTGTACACTTTTCAATTTTTGTACTGCTTTAAGATTATCAACAACCCGTTTCTCATTGAAGTTGTCTTCATCTGATGATTTGCCTTCTAGTGAACTGTAATCCATACCAGAGTCACATTTTGCCTCACTGGCAGAAGTACTGCCTTTAATTTTTTTATGATAAGGAGACTCTGAAGAACTAGAACTTTCACAATCGTTATCAAAATATTGACTGTTGCTTGGAGGATTGCAAACAGTTTTCAAATTCGCTTTGATTTTTGGCTTCATATCATTTGCTGCATCACTGATTTGTACTTTTTCAAATGTTTCATGAATTTCTGCAGCCGACGAGGGAAAACATTTCTTGACAGATCCATCACTGCAAATGTAAGAGGATTCTGAAGTGAGTGGGCAGCCAGAATCACTGAGCAAATTAACGTTTTTCGAGTACTCGCTACTTAAAGAAAACGACGAAATTTTGGAAGCATCACTTTCTTCATCTCCTGAGCTCTCAGATGCTGATGACACCAACTCCAAAGACTGATGAATTTTACCAATATTCTACAAAAAAGATAAAAATGTATGAGTTTGAAAGATAGTAAAAAAATAAAAATTAGAAATTTACAGAATTGTTAAGGAGTGAGGAATTTGAATAAATATCACTCAGTTATGTGCTATACAGATACAGAATGCCTTGAAATGACTGCTCTCAATTTTTAAATCCTTTCAAAATTAAATTTAAAAAACTATGCACGTGAAGGACTAGTAATTAATAAACCGATATTTTAAAGGAATAAACTAAAGTAATAAATTAATATGTTGAACACTACACAAATTTTTAAAGAAATACCCCATCAGGTCATGCATGTTGCTTAGAAGCTCTTGTATTGTGGTAGCAATGGGACAAGTACTACTAACAAATTGAAACAAATTAAGTATATTTTAAATACATTTTCAATAATTACTTATGTAAACTTTTTAGTTTTATATCATATTTCACACTGTCAGTCACCGATGACTGACACGGCCTAAAGGGAAAGTTCAGTTTCAGTGACTGGCATGATACTCAATGTGTTAAAGTGAGAAAAAATAAACTAAAATAAACAATTACAAACTCTGAAACTCATTATCGAGGAAGATTAAAATAAGCATTATTCTCAAATAAAATAATTTCGATTTCCCTTTTGATCAATCTCAAAAGTGATTAATAAAAGCTTGAAAATGCGTCTGATTCTCTATTTCAAAAACACTCTAATGCTTTGATTTTTTTGATTTTTTATTTTTAGTATGGGAAAAAGATTTTAGTACATTAGGCCACATACAATCTATACACAGCCCAAAAAACTACTCACTTTTCACCATACTAAAATGCCAGAAATGCAAACACCAAGAAATGGACAGTTTAAATGAGCGTTAGGATTATAAATTTAGAAATAAAATTATAGATTTAAAAAATAGTGATTTTATTTATAGGATGAACATAAAGAAAGAGATGTGTTTAACATTAGAAAGACTGCACATTGCTGTAGACCTAGAAAGACTGAAGGGTCCAATGTAAAATCAAATTTTAAAAATATGTCTTTTTTAAAATTTGATTTCTCAGAGCTATTCGACAGATTTCGCTCAAATTTTGCTTTTTGCCATATAAAATTAGATTCTTTAAAATTATGTACAAAATTTTATACCTTACAATTAAAAAAAATTTCTGCTATTATTAAGTAAAAAAATAATAAATGCTTACGAAAAGTTATTTTTTGCATGATATTATCGTTGGATAAACAAATTTTAGAATTGGGAGAAAAATGTTTCAATTTGCTTAAAAATTTTACGAAATACACAAAAAGTAAAATTAACGTTAAGGGGTTTAAACTTCGGACCGGTCTTCTGAACAAACTATTACAACCATATTTTGGGAGTCAGAAATCAGAATCTGTCAAAAAAAAAGGCCAAGTTCTTTTTTGTGTCTGATTTTGTAACTTAAAATAACTAACTAAATAACATATTTAGAGGGCACCCCCTCGAACCATTAAGATTGAGTCTAAGAATGGGAAGATCAAAGATCAAAAGTTATTCACACTGGTCCGTTTTTTTATTTTGTGCACTGTACTTCACGCTCTACAGGGCTCTAAACACCTTACATTCTTTTATTACAAATTTATAGATTAAATTAAAGACTGATTTCTTTAAATAATTTTTTTCGTATTAAATACTACACTCTATAATAAAAAAATCGACGCACCAAGAAGGAGCAGTCCGATTGAAACAAAAATTGGTGGATAGGAAGACAATGTACAGAATAGTAAATGATTAAAATTTCAGAACAATTGAATAATTTATTGCAGAGTTACAGTAACAAGTTCAATAAGGTGTTGACCCGCCTCTAGCCTGGATACAAGCTGCCACACGGCGTGGCATAGACCGATAAAGCTCCCGGATGGTCTCTTGCGGTATTTCCTGCCAAATTCGATCCAATTGTCGAACGAGGTCATCAACATTCCGTGCCAGATGCAATCGCCTTCCCATCATATCCCAGACATGCTCGATGGGAGAGAGATCTGGTGATCTGGCAGGCCAAGGAAGAGTTTGACAAGCTTGCAGACAGTTCATAGCAACACGTGCCGTATGTGGTCTGGCATTGTCCTGCTGAAAAACCAGCCCAGGGCGCTGCAAAAGGAACGGTAGCAAAACAGGTCTTAGGATGTCGTCGACGTACCGCTGTGCAGTAAGTGTACCTCTAATGACGACCAAAGGGGTCCGGCTGTCAAAGGAAATGGCACCCCAGACCATAATGCCTTGTTGAGGGCCGGTGTGGCGTGCAATAGTGAAGGCAGGATCCCCCCTCTGCCCTGTGCGTCTCCAAACACGTCTTCGATGATCGTCAGGACACAGTTGGAAGCGGGATTCGTCGCTAAAGACTATACGTCCCCAGTCGGCATCATTTCAGCCTGATCGAGCCATGCACCACTGTAATCTGGCATCACAAAGCAATCGGATGATTGCTTCTTGGTGCGTCGATTTTTTTGTTATAGAGTGTACTTATCTAGTTCTTCATTAAAACAAATAAAATTACATTTATTCAGTCTTAGCAGTTTACCTCTATTTGTAACTCATTTTTCAAAACTAACATTGTTTCAAATCAAAAAATTTCAAATATTAATTATAAAAATTTCAGAAATTTCATTAACTTAAACGATAAACGTGTGCTAAGGGACATTTAAGTTCACAAAGTCTGCTATTGGTTTTTCAATAAAATTTATACAAACAAGGTTAGAGAATATTTTATGCTATTCAGTGAGATTGCTAAAATTCTATTTTGATAACATAAGCCTGAATAAATGAATATTTCTGCTAACTTTTTAAGAAAAATAAGATCTGCTGAGGAATATTAAAATCTCTCAGTGACAGTTGAAAAGGACCTATTTATGAGATAAAATAATCCATAAATTGTAATTTCAGTTGAAGTGTTGCCGTTAAAAGAAATGGCCCAGTTTTGATATTTACTGTTTTAACACAACGGATGTTAATTTATTTTTTATTTACTTGTTTTTTCTATTAAAAAAAACAGAGTTTAGATTAACCTGTTTTCCAGGGTCCTGTTCTTTAACTCTTTTCACACTGGGGACTTTTTTCTTCTTAGTTACATGTAATATCATCACACCTAAACTGATTTCCATGACGAAAAATATCATCATGCCCATTTCAGTAGTAGTTCATGTATGACGAAATATTTTGTCATACCCAGTTAACAAGCTAAGGAGGAGTTGGCTGCACTCATTCCCTGGTGCAATTAAGAAGTAGTTCTTGACAGTTAAAAAAGATAAATATGAAAATGTGAAAAAGTTGTTAGGCAGTAAATCTTTCAAATGAAGAAAAAAAATTCATACAATACAATTATACATTTTAAGGATACTAATAGTACAAATACCTGATTACGAAAGAGTAGTGCAATAGTAAGTGTTAATGGCACAGTCCAATGTTCCTAGAAAGAATACAAACACAAGAATTAGAATAATAAATAAAAACAGGAGACTACAAAAATGCAAAGTTTCCAGGATTCATGAAAAATTTTTAGGAGCAAAACATGTCATAGAATGGAATGGAATGGAATGTAGCGCCACATTATTTTGCATATATGCTAAATTTTACAAATCTATAAGGCACTAGCTATATTTTTTTTTGTCGTTGTGATGACCTGGGACGCCGGGTGGCTGAGTGGTATCACTTTGCGCTCCCATGCCACAGGTCCTGGGTTCGATCCTCGGGGTGGGCAAGGCTGACTCAGCCTTTCATCCCTTCAGTGGGTCAATAAATGAGTACCAAGCATGCTTGGGAACTAAACACTGGGGGTTCCAGGTTTGGCTGACCACCTGACCGGNCGCTCCCATGCCACAGGTCCTGGGTTCGATCCTCGGGGTGGGCAAGGCTGACTCAGCCTTTCATCCCTTCAGTGGGTCAATAAATGAGTACCAAGCATGCTTGGGAATTAAACACTGGGGGTTCCAGGTACGGCTGACCACCTGACCGGAACATCAACTCCTGCACCCAAGAGCCTAATGTCAAGAAAACTGAGATGGGCACAGTAAGCCTTGTCCCTCTATGGGCTGTCGAACCACTGAGCTTAGTTTAGTTTATGATGACCTGGCGCGAAAGATTTGAAGACCCCTGTATATCAGAGGAACTGATTGTTTTAAATTCTTAAAACTAAGTATAGGTGAGACTCATTGGAGGATTAAAACAAACTGAAAAAAAATTAGTTAGCAATTATGCAAAATATGACAAATGAAAACACAATGCCAGATTAAAATTACTTTGGTATTGTACAAAAATTAGGGTTTACGTTCATTCATTCATTTTCTACATTAAAATTAAATAAGCTCATTTGAATTGATTTTCTATAAGAGGCAAGAAATTTTTTGTTTAAACAGTTTTTTGTTAACTATGTAAAGATTTAATAACAGTTTAATATGTTCTCATACAGTAAATCTATATCATAACCTAAGCATTACACAATTTCTTATCTTGATATTTTTGCTCAACAATGTACTGTAAGCTTTTAAAATATGTATCTTGGATGCTAATTAGAAAAAAAAGAACAGAATATTGGTTGCCATATACATAAAAAAAGAAGGTAGAAAGATGCCTTTTCTGAAGACATGCTATGGACATAGTTTCATCGATGAAAAACTTGTGTAATGGAATAAATATTGAAACCTTGAAAAATATTGTGATCTGTATCAATTCAAGACATATCTCTAGATAGAAAATATGTCATATTTTGTATATTCTAATTGTAATTATAATTCATATACTACAATGTTAGGCTGTTTGACTTTTTTCAGAATTCTATAACTCCTTTTTTTTGTTAACAATTATGGCTCAATCTCCATTAAATACATAAGTTAATAAGTAAAAGTCCAAACCAAAAAAATTTGATATTAGGTAGAACATCTATTATGTTGTTAGCCGAGTCGAACTTTTAAACTAATTTGCTTATTCTGTTTTCATAATCTTTATTGTTTAAAATAATTAATGCTTTCCTACATTCTCCAAATTCTAAATCTGGCACTGTTTAACAATTTTATCACTGTTTTAACAAAAAAATAAAATTATGTCCTTTATCAGTATAAATAGACTTCTTCTAAATTAGCCAATCTTTGCAAATCATTTTTTATAAGTAAAACAATTGAATATTTCATCTAAAATGTAAGTACTAGTTTTTTGTACGGGATAAAAACCATGCAAACTTTGATTTCAGGTAAAAATTTTCAAAAATATAAATTTTTCTTAAATAATTGTCTGACAGACCCTTAATAATTAAAAATTTTGTGCATTATATTTCCTTGATAGCATATATCTCTTACAGTACATAATAATAATTGAACTGGGTTCAAAAAAATTCTAGAAGTCTGAAAACTCTAGGCTTCAAAAATCAGTCAGAAAACTTAGTTTTCCTAATTGTAATTAATTTAGACTCCAAAATTTTCCAATCACTGTAACAATTAAAATGCTCTTTTTTAACAATCAACATTAAAATTTATAGTAGCTGTAAATTGAAACAAGCAATGCCTGTATTCTGCCAAGTGCTGAAAAAAAACGCCAATTTCACGATAAAAATAAGTCCTTTTAATGCGTAATAAAAATATTATTTTATTTAAACATCAGTTGAAATGTTTTACATTTTTGCTAAGAGAAAATACATATTTAAGGCAGAGATAAAAATTCTTTACAAAATATATGTCTTTTTTAATCCTTAAAATAAAGTTTTTCCCTAGTATTAAAACTTAAAAATGTTTAAATATACCTACTTTGTACTTGCTGTTGAGCATTAAAATAAGAGCTCCATCAAAACCTTGCACAAATAAATTCCTGAATAAAACGAAATAAAATATTATTCAAAGACATTAATAGTCATAAAACACTTAAGTTCATTTCATTATTTAAAAACAATGAATGTATATTTCGATTATGCAATTGAGAGTATTGTCTGGAAAGCATGAGATAAGCTCTCAGATTACGTTTAGTGAAGTAAGAGGCTCCTCTCATAACTACCAGTCATCTTTAAAACTTTATGAGTAGATATTGATGATTAAAATAAGTGTCAAATATTCTGGTCCTCTATAATGTAACAAATACAAACGTATAACAAATATGAATGTAATAAAATACATCTTTATCTCCTTAGTTTTGCATTTATATCAGATGCATAAATGTAATGGTGAGAATCATAATATAAGTTTGTAAATAAAAGAAATGAAAAGAAATTATTGAAGCAATTTTTGGTGATAAATGTAGCTGATCACACTTGAAGAGGTTAGTGGAAGAACATGTTGATTGACATTTTATGGCAAATTTCACTGACATCATATTTATGAAATTAGGTTTTACGAACATTTTATAAAAGTTGTCATAAAATGTTAATCTATTTGTTCTTCTATTAAGCTCTTCAACTGTGATCAGCTACATTTATTATTAAAAATTGCGATAATTCTTTTTATATTTCCCTTATATACAAACTTATATTATGATTCTGACCATTACTGCATTCATGTATCTGATATAATGGCAAAACTAAGGAGATAAAGACATATTTTATTACATTTATATTTACCTCAATATTCAATTTCAAGAACTCCACATATGTCATTACAAAGTTTGCATTTTAAAGATTTTATTTTAAAATTAATGATAACTTCATGATTTCAATATAGAGATCTTTCTTTTAAAATATTAAACTACAGAGGTTTGCTACTACAAGTATAAGATTCTGATCAAAATTATGATCAAGACCCAAATGTAACACAGTATACTTGGTGAAAAAAAATTCATTGGCTCATAAGTAAGCACTCAGTCTCAAGACTCACCTGACCTTAATGAGAAAAAACAAAATGACTAAAACAGAAATGCAGTTGTCAAAGAAAAATGGAAAATAAAAGACTATGAAAACTATGATAGCTGAGAGTGAAATAGAAAATAGAAAATAAAGGTGAAAGAAACTAGAAAAACTGCTTTGGCCGTGAAAGGTAAATCAGGAAAAATTGCATTTCCACATGCTAGGGAGAGATAGCGAGGAACTCACATTGTTAGCAATAGAATTGGCATTCATGTGAAAGCAACATTCCACAGCATCAAGAGGAGCTAATGTGACAAGGGAAAGGGAAGAATTTTGGAAATATTGAAAATGAATTTATTCTCGATATTCCAACAAGGTAGGGTAATAGATGATTTATTGCATTCTTGATATGACGGATATGTTTATCATGTTTTTTAGTCTAAATTTTAAAGCACGACTGGTTTGTCCAATGTAGCCAACGTTGCCCTAGTAAGGTATTAATTTTTCATTTCACTCCTAGCTACTGGGGTATTTCTAGTTTTGTTTTTAAACTTTATACATTAATATTTTTCATTAGCAACCATTTAAATCACTTTTGTTTCTCTCATTCATATCTAGTGAATCTTTAGAATGGCTTCACAATGAACAGTGAATCTTTAGAATTTGCTTCACAAATATGACAAAAGTAATGAAAATCGACATTTTCAAAAATCAAACACTCAAGAATAGGCACACATTCTCAAGACTTTTCAGGTGGGAATGACACATGACGTGAGTTTTTGAGCGGTCAAAATATGTTCACTTCTATTACCATCTTTAAATTTTTTGAAGCTAATGATGTTAAAACCACTTTCCGCTTTAGTTTTTTGGGATTACTCATTTAGTAATTCAGTTTATTAAATTAAAATACTTCATTCAATAATAAAATAAGTTTTACATAATTATTCTATGTATTATGTGTGCCAGATACAATACACTTGTGTCATAACTAATGGCACAGGCTCTCAGATTGAAAAATTAAAAATAATTAGCTGCAATTTTTCAAAAAATCAATGCAGAACAATTTTTTTTAGGAAGTCAAAAAAATCCGTTTATAATTCAAATTTCAAAAAGTCAAGTAAAATGATGGAATGTCACCAAGAATCAAAGTTGAAATTACAAGGCCAATTATTTCGAACAAGTTAATCTCTCCGTCCTAGTAAAATTTGTTAACAAATGTAATTCTTATTAGTCGATTTCAAAACTAATTCTAGATGCAATTTAGAATGAACTTTAGGTTATATTTAGCTAATTTTTTAAAAGTGGTGCATCCAGAAAATCATTCAAAACGGGGTTTTAAAATTAAATCTCAGTTTTATTTTTCAGAAATGTTGAACACTGAATTATTTGAAATAATATTGTAAGAGTTGTGGCGGCTCAAGGAATAGAGCGTTTGCCTTCCATTTATGTGAACCGGGTTCAAATCACAGCGATAGCTGTTCGATACAAATTCCCCACACGGCTTGCACCTCATACAGTGCTGACATAAAATGTCCTCAATGGTAGACGGATCATGGGTTAGAGTCCCCTTGCAGTCAGACTAACCATGGGAGGTTTTTGTGGTTTTCCTCTCTATGTAATGCAAACATGGGTGAGTTTCATCAAAACTCCTCCACGAAGGCAAATTTCTTCCAATGCTTGATACAAAATTTCTTGATAATATATTTTTGATGCCTTCTAGATTGCGTTCAAAATTACAAAACTACAGAGTTGAGCATTAGTAGTTGTAAACTCAAAAAATTGCATTGACTGTTCAATGACGGTTATAAAATAAAATAAAATAATATTGTAAGACCAATGAAGCGGATTCAAATCTCTGCGATGGCTGCTCAATACGAATTCTACACCCGGCTCGCACTGATCACAGTGTTGAGGTAAAATATCCTGAGAGGCAGACAGATCATGGGTTAGAGTCCCCTTGCAGTCAGGCTAACCATGGGAGGCATTCAACGTTTTCCTCTCCATGTAACGCAAAGGTGGGTTAATTCCATCAAAAAGTCCTCTACAAAGGCAAATTTCTCCCAATATTGATCCAGGTGTTCCCTTGTCTTCTGGATTGGGTTCAGAATTACACAGAGTTGAACATTGGTAGTCATAAGCCCTAAATTGGGTCGGCTATTCAACGACGGTTATAAACAAATTTAATAAATAACAAAAATGACTTTAAACTGATAATTATTTTACACCAATAAAAGCCATTTGTAGCGAGATTAAAAAATTGATTTTTATTTTATGTAGTTAAAATACAAAAAATGCAGATTGAATAAAAATTAAGAAAAAATTTCATCTTATCATTTTTCATAGTCTTATGTCTATTTTCCTAGGTCTTTCAACCAGGTGGTTCAGAACATTCTCTCCAGAAAATGTTATTCCTTTATGAAGATACAGTGCGAAAGTACACTGCCAGGGTATGCCCATTCGTAGAGACGGTACTGGTTTTAAAGATATAGCCAAAAACAAAAAATTAACATTAAGGCGACTAAACTTTTATCAACTCTTCAGATTAAACTATTTGGATCACAGTTTCTAGATTGCAGCTATTCCTTCTTATTTTTGTGCACTATACACCCCTAAATAAAAATCGGAACTTTTATATAAATTAACGCTCACCTCTACTAATTTTGCTAAAATTTGTAATAATTACAAGTACTGGGCTCTTTTTTTTTCAAAGAAGAGAGCTGGCTGCAAAAGCTAATGTGCAACGCTCTGAATTACTTAGAGTGTTACTACAAAAATAAAAATTTGGAATTCGTATTTTTCGAAAATTTGAAAACTTAACTTGATTTTTCAGACATTTTCTAAGCAACTACATAATAATTTCCTTTACAGCTATTATTAAAGTTAGAAAGGATGTCATATTTTTAGCTACATCAATGAGATATGTCATTTGGAATCTTTTTGTCACTCCTAAAGATTAAGAAAAAAATAACAAAAAAAATTATTCCATATTTAAAATAAAATTCAGTTACTTTACAGTAAAAAAAAACCCAACTCTTAAATTCTTGAAATGAAATTTTATTAGTAAACATAACTAAAAATGACTCACCATATTAATTTATTCTGCACTGACTGCCAATCAGCATATTTTGGGATGCAATTTTTATCAAGATTTGATAAGTTTTCAGGTAAATGCAGTAAATTACAAAGAAAAGTTAAACAATTATACAAATGTTCACATTCTTTGTCTTTCAATGGAATTAGATGTTTTTCCTAAAAACAAAAATATATATATATTAATTTGAAGCAAATATTTAAATATTAGATGTTCAAAAAATAAGTAAATAAATAATTATAAAACATGTTTTTGAAAAGAAATACTAATATTAAGACTGCATAAAAAGAATAATAACTGAAAAAAAAGCTTGAAAGGGTTATTGAACAATTTAATGTTCATTACAACGCCACTTTTATTTTGAAAATTAAAAATAAATAACATGCTTCTTAAACTATTTTGTGTACAAATATTAAACTATTTTGCGTACTAATAAACATTGTATGATCAATTGGAAAACTACTTAAAATATATAAAGAGAGAGAGAAAAAAAAATATCCCAGATGAAAACATTTCATTTTACTTGAAAACATTGAAAAATTCTTAACATTTTGTAATGCCATAACACCAAGTTAAAAAACAAAACAAAACTATGAATTATATGAAGAAAAACAGTGAGGAAGAGAGTAGAACCTTGTACCGCATGTACCTCAGACCAGTAAAAATATTTACTCCTGCAAATACATTGCACTGGATAAATTCTATAATTAGTATGTATAGTTGATACTTACAGGGCAAAATAAATGTTTGCCAGTGGTCATAGGATGACTAAATATAACAAATGATCACTAAAAAATTTTCTACTTGTCGCCATTAAATCACCATTTTTTTGTTAAAATGCCCCCCCCCATGAGCATTTTATTGTTGTTTTTTAATAAATATGGAATTATTATGAATATTTTATAATTTTCTGATAGTTAATTTATGCTTGTTCTTCTTCATTTTAGAAATGAACCTTGAAATGTTTAGTATAATTTCAGAAATGCTTCGAAAGAAATGACGTACGTTATTAATATCAAAATATTTTGTAACATTTCTTTTTAATCCGTCGTTGAACAGCCGACCCAATTTTTGGGGCTTACGACTACTAATGTTCAACTCCGCAGCCTTGTAAATTTGAACCAATCCAGAAAATAAGGAAACTCCTGGATCAGTACCCCCAGAGGTACTGATTTATTATGGGAACATGGAGGACTTTGCGACTCGACAGATTTAACGTACATCAGTCACCATTTACAGCACGGGGAGTATTCAGCCGGTGGGGATCGAACCCACGAACTCTTGGACATGGGTCCAGTGCACTACCAACCAGGCTCTCCACTGTAGACTAAGTAGCCACTCCTAAAAAAAATCTACAACTGGCAACTCGTCAGTAGTAAAATTTCCTTGTTTGGCCCTATATCGATAACTGCGACATTTCAGGTTTTTTAAGACTGAGCTAAAAAACTATTTTTCTTTTTAATTTTCCAGTTGCTGACTAATTTTTTTTTCCAATAAATTTGATTGGAGATTATTATAGAAAAATAATAGTTTTGAGGGAACTATCATTGGATATACGAAATTTATAATTGTATGAAAAATATTTTTTAATTAGACAGTTGCAGAAATATCACAAAATATGGAAGTGAAACTATATAATATTGAAGTGCCCATTTTTTTTACTGCTCTCCAGGCAAAGCTGCTCGAACCCTATTTTCCAGATTTCGGCTATCCTCCACATTACTGCTTTTGTAAAATTTAAGTAACTTCTTTTTAATAATAGTTATTTTGCAATAAATGTTACAATGTAACGATTATAAAAACCAAAAAGAGAACTAATTTATTAAATAAATTGGCATTTGAACTCCAATCAAATTTTAGTATTTACATGCATTACATTACCTCTTAATAAGTAATAAACTAAGTTCAACTAAATAAAGTTCTTTGAGGGTGTTTTTAAAATTATTAAAAACCTCCATTAAAAAGAAATAAATGAACCATTTTCACAACTAAGTGTCACGATTTAAATGTTGATAAGAAAATTATTAATAAAAACGGAGTAAAATGTTAATAAAAGTAATTAAATAATAAAAGGTACATACGATAATGTTTGGAAAAAAAAAGAACTAAATTGAAATAAAAATATATTTAAAAAATATAATATATGTTCTGAAGACAGCCAATAAGATTGAACCAAATTTGAGCGCATCTTAATAAAAGTTTCCTGACTGAATGTAGAGAAAGAGTTTGATTTCAGAGTCATCCCCTTTTTAAACTTACTGATAAGCTATCACCACTTTCGTAACGTCCACCATCCACTGGCTACATCTTACTTCAATCCCAAAAACACTCCCTGAAAAATCTTGGAAATATTCCGTATGAAGCATTTATAACCAAATTCAAATGAACAAAATATCTTCACTTACAACCTACACCCCTAGACATCAAGATATGGATAGATAAAGTAGAGTAATTTGAAGCTGTGGACATTTTCCCAAAGTAAAAAGGAATCCGCTAACCTTGTAAGTGAATGACAAGAAGGGGATCATTGGTTTTGCCATGAGGCAAAATGAATTTTAAGATGGTGTTTTATTACCTAATAAAAACTTTAAAGGAAGCAGAAAATTTTTCTGAAAATATTTTTTCTAAAATAATTATTAATTTGGGAAAATATTAAAAATTTCCATTTACAATGGGGTGTGTTTGAACCCCCTAAACCCCTCCCTTGCCTACCTCCTTGGTCTGGTGGAAGTTACTCATTCTTTTCACAATATTTCAATACAATTGATTATCGGGAAGAATCAAAAGAGGAAGATTAAAATTGACACACACATTTGGAGTTTCTTAATATAAAATTTTTTGGAAAAACGTGAAAATTTTACTTTTTCAGTTGGTAGTTACAATAATGGTTCACTACGGGTAAAATATTTAATAATAATAAAGAATCAAACACTCAAAAACATTGAAAAAATATGTCACAAAAATGGGTTATTTTAGCATGCATTAAAATCACCATATAACTATATTCTACAAAGGAAAAGCAACATCAAATTCAAGCCCCACTTTTTTACGAAATAGTAAAATATAATAGAATACGTGAATTTTGTTATGGTCCATGAGTTGTTGAAAAAAGTTATGCAATAGCGAAAATTTAGCCAAAAATTGATTTTTTTTGTAGCAATTCTGCTGCATGTTCAATTTTTTATTAAATAACATGCAGAATTTCTGTTCTTCAAATGAGGTGAAAAAATATTAAATAATCAATTAAATGGCATTATGCACAAAGCTGAAAGGCTTATACTGATACAATTGATAAAGCTTAAATATTTCAATTTTTTCTTCATTTATAATTTTTTGTTGTTCCTCCCACTGACTTTTAAGTAATTAGATTAAATAAAACACGTTTTAGGAAGCACGTTTCACATAACTTTAAAAGTAATATCAGTGATGTTTGCTACCTTACAGCTCCATTTAATCCAAAAAGAGCTCGTTTTTAATAATTAATTTTTTATTTGTTGCTTATGCTTTTTCTATAGCAGTAGTAGTTCATTTACGTCGCACTAGAGCTGCACAATGGGTTATTGGCGATGGTCTGGGAAACTTTCCTGAGGATGATCCGAAGACATGCCATCACAATTTTGATCCTCTGCAGAGGGATGGCACCCCCGCTTCGGTAGCCCGACGACCTGCACGCGAAGTCGAGCACTTTACGGTAGAACAGTTTAACGAGGATCAATACCGCACACCCTCGGTCCCTACCCAGACTGATCCAAGTGGTCACAAATCCGCACACTGACCGCAGCCAGTGATGCTTGACTTCGGTGATCTGCTGGAAACCGTGTCTTAACGATCAGTCCACTGCGGGACTGCTTTTTCTATAAAATCAATGGTAATTAAAATATGTACTAAAGAGAAAAATTCGTTTCTGAACAAAATAATTAAAATTTTTGATCGATTTTTAGGATCGGGGCTCAAATGCTTCTGCTGTCCAAATTTCAAGAGGCTAACAGAAATGGTTTAGAAATTGCAATAGTGAAACTCACAAACACTTCCTTTTATTATTTTCCCCTGTTCAAAAAGTCAAAATGTATGTCAAGAGGTCATTATCTTATTAAATAAATTTCAGAATAAAGGAAGATTTCAATTATGCATAACTAAATATATGTCACTAATATCTTAAATTCTTTTTTTTTAAAGTTTATTAGGAAGTAAATAATATATCACAGCTGGCACAAAATAATTCGGTAAGATATTTCCTTGCAAATCCTCAATCAGAATCTCCCGAGTTACAGATGCTGTAAATCTAACAAATGAAAATAATAAAATACATACAGTTACTTACTGATTTCATAACTGTTTCTCTGAGCATTGAGACAATGGGTGATGTAGCTGATGCATTTAAAAAAGCTTTTTTAATAGCTAAAGTTGATACAGCTAACTGTGTGTAAATATTCAAATGCTTAGGTGATAAAGCAGCTTCTTCAAATTGTAAAAGACATTCAGCAGGTAAACTCAAACTCACAAGAACTCTAAAATATATAGGTAACAATTTATATAATAAAGTGATATATAAGGATACGTTATGTTTTATATTAAGCAAATAAAATAATCAGATTTAAAATTGCTGAGAAATTTTAGCTTTTTCTACGAGCATTTATAAACGTTTAAATGTAAATTTATATAATTATGCAATTATTAAATATCATACTTTGTGGAAAACAGAATTACAATTATTTTATTATCTTTGTGCTATTTCCTTTATAGATTACATAAACTGCAGACATGTATTTATTAATAACATACCATAAATGTCTGACTAAATTAATTAGCAAGATCAATCAAATCACTAATTTAAGTTTAAAAAAATGTAGTGTATAATTTATAAATATAAATTTAAAATTGCAATTTTTTTCATCTGATTTTGTTTTCCTTTGGTAATATTTCTTCATACACGAATTACTGACTTAAATACATTTGATGACTTGTTTTAAAACTAACATTGAATATCATTTTTTCACAAAAAACATAGTACACTAAAACTCCTATAAATTCCTGATTTAAAAACTCATTCTTCAAAAAATTTTAACATTACAAAAGTAATATTTGTATTATTAAATTTATGTTTAAAATTTTTTTTTTTTACATCTGTGAAATTAATTTTGTGGTTTCTTTCTTTAAAAAAAAAATAAATAAATAAATGCTGCATCAAAAATTTTCAATAATTTTTAATGCAGCAATATAGCTTCAAATGTATTATTATGATTTCAATATAACTTTTTAGTTATACGATCCTACTATTTATTAACCTTTTAAACTTAGTTTTTAAGGCATCTTTTAAAAAAAATCTAATTTAAATCAAATAATTATGATTGTTTTCTTTTGTTGAGAATTCAACTAGAGATATGAATGCTGATACTATATTATTAAGGAATTCATCTATATTATAATGTATTCATATATTTATCTATGAGTTGTTTTTTTTACTTTCACAGTTTTTGAAGAATCCTGATGGTCTAGTTAATGTATAAGGAAGGAAATATTTTCTGTTAATTTTGTAAAATTATAAAAATTGTCTAAAATGTTTAGTAAAATAATTTTTGGAAATGTGAAAAAAGTATTTTCTTGATGGTAGTTATGGTCTAGATGTAACACTTGAAAATAATAAATGTTTTCTTTTAAAATTGACGTCAGTGTTTTTTAAATCACAAATGAAAACAAAAAATACATTTAAAAAATTTACTTTTTGAAATACTGTACTCCAGTGTTTTTTCTTTTTTTTTTTTCTTCAGCTTGAATCTATGGAATTTATGTAAAATAAGTTTGTCTCAAAGTAAACCCAGAAATTTTTAAACTTAAGATTTATTAAATTGTTAATGAGCAATTTGAAATTTTACAAATATTAAGATAACTTTCCAGTTAAATCTGAGTTAAAATTTTTTTTCATATCTTGCAATAAAAAAATAAAAAAATTGAAATAAAAAATTATTCTTTATGAGAAATAGTAATAGTTTCAGTTCTTAAGTGAAATTTTTTATTGTTTTAAAATTGTTTAGATAGATAAAATGTTCTTTCAGAAAATCTGACTTAGCTTTTTCAAATTAGTAAGAAAAACAAATCATATAGAGATAGATAACAATATTTCACATTTTTCATTCAACTGTGTTCAAAAGCATTGCAATTTTAAAGCATATCAGTTTTCGTATTGCAGTTTTAAAGCATTTGCAGCTTTAATTTATTCAATGCAGGTGTTTTACTCCAAATTAAAATACATTTGTAATTTAATTACAAAACGTATACATATTTGCAATAAATTCTGTTTACTTTGGAGTACAAAACCTATATTCATTGAGTTAAATTTGCATTTAAATTATAAAGCAGCAGAATCAATTTTTGGAAATCTGCACAGTATTAAAAGATTATCCCTATACAATATACAACATCTCCAAAGAAATTTTTGCTACGAATAACGTTGCAAAAGTATCTATTGGTGTTCTTTCGTATTTGTAAATGCTTATTAATATTTATTTTACGAACAACGTTATGAAAGCATCCATTGGAACTTTACAGCATCTGTATAATTTGCCTACGGTAAGAACTCCCCGCTCCGCCACAAAATCTGAGGTCGTCCACTGCTATGGAAACAAAAATTGCGCATTTCAAGGAGGGCAGCTTCTTTTCACTCTAGGTCTAACACAGTAGACTGAAAAAAAAAAAGATTACCTTATTCTTGTCGACCCGAGCCAAAACTTGTCCTAAACAGTGACCCCACACCTCTACTTGAAATAGTTATATCTCGTTACCATAGTCACCAACACGTTACCATAGTCACCACCGCTAGGGGAGTTCTTACTTTAGACAAACTATAAAGGCTGTGGAATATGTTATTTACGAACTTTGTGTTTTACGTCATTATTGTATCATCGATGGATATCATTTTTGCGATGTCGTACAATATGAGTAAAAGTCCGACGTTTTTACATAGATCGATGTTTCGAAATCGATCGATATTGTGACACAAAATGTCCCTTAAACTCAGAAATATTGGTATAAACTTTGATGGATAAGGTAACAAACACTTTGCGTAGTAGAACATGAAGCCAAAAATGCAGCGAGACTTTTTACAAAATTAAATCAAAATTTAATGTTTATAATTTTCCTTATTTCCGAACTGTGACAACTTTAAGATTTTTTATAGCAACCACTTATTTTTAAAATTTCTTTAAGTTGCTTAATCTCGGGAATTATTCAACCCTTTTACCCGAAATTTTTGGTTTTAGCTTAAATAAGAATAGGGAGAATTCCGTATCGGTAATTGCATCAAAATGGTTGCTTAGTTTGGACAACAACCGAAAAGTAAAGCACAAAATATTATAAAAATAAAACATAAATAAATAAATAAAAACAGAAAAGAGAAAACTCGAAATGTAAAACTCAAGGATACCTCCGAGCAAACAAAGTTTTCTTTCTTTCTTTTATTATTATTATTATTTTTTTTATTTTTTTGAAAAAAAAAAATTCATTCCCAATTTCAAAAACCGGGCAGTTTCTCTTGAGGACTTCCAATAATTCCGAATATCCCTTGAAAGAATTATAAAATAAATGGTTTAAAGAAATATTTTAAGAATTTCACTGCTTTTTTCTTCTTCTTAAACTTCCTTAAACGGCCAGCTAAGTCATAATATATTTTTACTTTTTAATCATTAAACCATTCATCCCATATCATTAATAATAAAACATAACATATTTATAGGTAAAAATCATGAAGATTTGAAGAAGAAAAAAAAGTGGATTTTGTATAAGGAAATCGTATATTCTGTTGTGAGAAACACAAGGTTCGATGGAATATTTCATGTGAGGTTAAGTTGACACGCAAAAATTAACCAAAAGAAATAAATAAACAGATAAGATAAAAAGTTCGTTAAATATATACAGTATAGTAAAATACTGTACTGCACAAATAGTATTGTTCCTTTTTATACTGTGTCGATTTACAGAGGGTAAAATAAAAAAACGCAACGCTTTTGATCTAACGATCGGATGGATATTAATAGATGTGGATCTTGAAGATTCGGTGGCATAGCCTGAACTAAGCTAAATAATTAGGGTAGACGATATTTTGAGTACTTTATATGTATCTTTTTCTCGGCCGATATTTGACCCTCCAAATATGGTCCCAATAGTTTACGGAGAATGTTGAAAACTATTTTTTGCCTGTTTCACAACAATTTATCAGCTACTATTCGAATGATAGACTTCAAATTTTCTCATTTAATTAATTTTATCTTTTCCATCAATTAAAATGATGAAAAAATTTATATATCTAACAAGCAAAACCATAATTAAATTAAATAAAAAAAAATCTTAAAAAATTATATTTAATATGAAATCTTTGGATAAACAAGTTTCATAATTGGGCTTAAAAACATTTTGATTCGTCTGATTATTTCCAGAAATATTACAAAATAAAGAAGATATGAAATTTATATTAGTAGTCCCAATCTTTCAACCGTTTTCCTAATTTCTTTTTTTTTTTATCATATTTTACCAGATTGTGGCTTCCTCCCTCTACCATATGTAGTGAAAATCCAAATCCGTCGCGAAGCGGAGAAAGTACGGTTTTGTATTTGATTTCATAACTTCAAATATTGTTTACAGTAATTAATTAACATATTTAAGTTTAGACTCGCCAATCATTAACAATCATTTTTTTTTAAAAAATTTTCAACAAATACTAATGGTTTTCAACTATCTCATAAAAAAGATATAATAAAATATAAAAATAATAAAAAATAATAAGAAAATTAAAAAAAGTAAGACTCAAGATATGTTTATTGAATAATGTTGAATATTTAGAAAAGTATACTTCGATAAATCAATGACAAATTTCTCCTATTTCACTTGGCCATCAATAATTTTTTTTTTTCAATATAAGCGTTAACGTTCTATCGAGTGATGGTGACATTTTTCCTCGATTAAATACGTTCAATAGCCGCCGTTGCGGAAGGTAACACGTGAATTCGAAACACGTGGTAAAATACAAAAGAAGAAATGTTTTAAGAAGCATGCGCAATCAAGATAGAACAACGGATAAACAGGTCGAGATTTGCTAACAAAGTCTTGTTTTTTCTCGTAAATCTCAATTATCATTCTTGTTTTATTTTATTCGATTGAGTTGAAGGTCAAATTTAAAATTCCAGTTTTACGTCTTTGTGATGCACAAAAAAACATTTTGATTGTGCTTGAAATGAAAGTATCACTTAGAAAGGGGGAATGAAATAAATGATTAACCTAAATTAATATTATTGTATAACAAAAATATAGCATTTTTATATCCTGAGAAAAAAACATGTAGAGGTTGGGCAAAACTTGAAAAGATTAATCAATCACTACAACATTATACAGCTCATTTGTACTTAATATCCATTTCTTTAAAATTTACTAAAAATGTATTTTTATATCAATGGCGTACAATACCTATTTAGTTTTATTCGCACTTAATATCTGTCAGATAATTTATTAAAAATGCTTT